CGGGGCCAATTTTGACCCCAGGGCTTTTATTTGAACAAACTTGGTAGACATTCACTAGAAGATGTTTCATGCCAAATATCTAAGCTCTAGCTCTTACAGTTCTTTAAAAGAAGATTTTTTAAGTTTTTACTATATGCATATAGGGAAAATCAATGACCCCCCGGGGCGGGGCCAATTTTGACCCCAGGGCTTTTATTTGAACAAACTTGGTAGACACTCACTAGAAGATGTTCCATGCCAAATATCTTAGCTCTAGCTCTAACAGTTCTTTAAAAGAAGATTTTTTTTAGTTTTTACTATATGCATATAGGGAAAATCAATGACCCCCCGGGGCGGGGCCAATTTTGACCCCAGGGCTTTTATTTGAACAAACTTGGTAGACACTCATTAGAAGATGTTTCATGCCAAATATCTAAGCTCTAGCTCTTAGGGTTGTTTAAAAGAAGATATTTAAAGATTTTTCTTTCGGTTGCCATGGCAACCAGAGTTCTGCATGGAATTAAATTCTTTGAACAATTTTTAAAGGTGACCACCAAAGGAACATTCCTGTGAAGTTTGGATGAAATTGGCTCAGTGGTTTATGAGGAGATGTCATTTAAAGCAAAAGTTTACGGACGGACGACGGACGGACGGACGGACGCCGGACGAAAAGCGATCACAAAAGCTCACCCTGTCACTTTGTGACAGGTGAGCTAAAAAGTGCCAAAATGTCCTGAGAGTAAAAAATATAACCAGTTTCAACATAAACAAAATATACAAAAATCTGTAAAAAAACAAACAAACAAAAACTCAATTTAGCGACAGTATGGAACTTGACTATTTGAAAATGTGTTCATTTAGAAGTGTAAATGTAAAGAGATACATTTAAAGATCCTGCTTGTTGTAATTCAGGTGGTTACCACACTTGAAATTTTATAATAAAATGTAAATAATTATGCTTCTAAAACAATTTTCAAACATCGAAGAATATGTAACATATGTACTGCAAATATTTGTCCACATTATTATGTAATCATAAAAATATATGCATTCATTTCTTATTAAAAAATTTGACTTAGACTTTATAGAAAATAAATTTCTAATTACCTCCCTTTATTAACATTAAATGAAAATTCGCTAATATCTTTACAAATAATGCTTTTTGGAACTTACAATATTAAATAAATCTTCATTTGAGTATTATATTAATTTTTATGATATAAAACCATAAAAACAAATTGAGTTACAGGATCTTTAAGGAAGGGGTTGGATAAAGTTTTCCATTTAATATAGGTACATGTATTTGGTCCCCCATTAGAAATTTTAAAATATGTAGACTTGCATCAATTATATATTAACCTTCATTCCATAATGCTGAAAATGCATAGTCACTAACTGTAAATTGATAAAGATACATAGAAGACTTTAGTATAACATATCATAACATAAAAATGTGTAAGTTTGAAAATGGGATCAAATTTTCCTACTGACAAAGGGGTATACATGTATAATTACATTGTATGTAATGTCAGTTGGTGTAAGATGGGACAAATGCTAGGTATAATACATGTATAAAAATTGAACATAACATCTACTGGTCAATTAAGATATAAAACAAATATGACAATATATATAACAATAACAAAGAAGGAAAACCGAATATCGACCACATGATATAACCTTCAAACTAATGTTGACAATTTAATACAATTCAATTGTTTCATGTCATTCAAATCTATTTTAATCCTGATTAACCATACAAATTACGTAGGAATATGTAAGTTTGATTATGATCTTGATCTTGTTCATGAAACCTTGAGTGAACATTGAATGTGGATTATAGAGACAGCTATGATGCTATTGAAATCTTTGTGAACACAAGATATGATTAAGGACTTGACAAGATACTACTGACAGCTTTGTGAACACCAGACGTGGATAAGGACAGCTATGATGCAACTAAATTCTTTGTGAACACCACTTGGGACACTGGATAGGGAAAGCTACGATTCTACTGAAATCTTTGTGAACACCAGACAATTGGACACTGGATAGGGACAGCTAAGATTCTACTGAAATCTTTGAGAACACCACATGTGGACACTGGATAGGGACAGCTACGATTCTACTAAATTCTTTGTGAACACCAGACAATTGGACACTGGATAGGGACAGCTAAGATTCTACTGAAATCTTTGTGAACACCAGTCACATTGGTGCTACTGAAATCTTGGTGAACACCAGACGTGGATAGGGACAGCCATGATGCTACTGACATTTTTTTGAACCCCAGACAATGGTAGGGACAGGTCTGGTAATGCTTAGTAAAATGGCTCTTCAATTTTAACAGTTTCAAATGTTGAGGTAATAAAAAACAAACATGTAAAAGACCACAAAATAACATAATCAAAAACATGTAAGTACATGTATAATTAACACCACATCTACAAACAAGCCTGCTTGTAAAAAATATATAAACAGTATAAAACAATCAACATACAAATTTGTTCAAATAAGGTAAAATTAATAATGAAATAAATGGGCACAAAATTTAATGTGCAAATATGAAACATAAATGTAATATATTTATATAATAAAAACTACAAAAGGGTAATGATTGCCAATTTTTTCTATATGTACATGTACCCAAGTTCAGTTCAACAATCAGTTTAAAAGAAAACAAAGCTTTATATAGAAAGTTTTATGCAGTTTTTTGCTTTCTTTTTTCCCGAACTAGTACAAACAAAAGCATTTCAGATGAACTTTTCAATACATCTGTCTGGTGGGGGTTACAGTTTTGTGGGCTATTACTCCAATGGGATTTTGTTTGTATCTATAAAGGTTTGTAACAAATCATTTTCGTAATATTCAAATTGTTTGATAAAATATGGAAAAGGTGCATAGAACAATGTTACATGAAATTTGTCTTTAAATGAATGCATCTACATGAAATAAAAATCTATTTACAGCCATTAAAAAGAGCAAATTTAATTAGTTTCAATTTTTAAAACATTGTTTTATGACTTTTTTTTTTGTAATAATAAGTATTGGATAGTTTTCTGCTTTTAAGTAAGTTCATTTTCAAAATTCAATTTACGTAAATGTTTATTTTAAGCTATCAAAATTCACTTTTCAGAAACTGTTTATTAAAAGCTATCAAAATTCACTCTTCAGTACATGTATATTATAAGATATCAAAATTCACTATTGAGTAAATTTTTATTATAGGCTATCGAAATTCACTCCTCATTAAATGTTGTAAATTATAAGCTAGCAAAATTCACTCTTCAGTAAATATTTATTTTAAACTATCAAAATTCACTCTTCATTAAATGTTTATTATAACCTATCAAAATTCAATCTATAGTTAATGTTTATTTTAAATGTTTATTATAAGCTAGCAAAATTCACTCTTCAGTAAATGTTTAATAAAAGCTATCAAAATTCACTCTTCATTAAATGTATATTTTAATTAATCAAAATTCACTCTTCAGTAACTGTTTGTTAAAAGCTATCAAAATTCACTCTTCAGTAATTGTTTATTATAAGCTTCAAGATTTATTATACACAACATATTTATTATCATTAATAACAATCAACATACACCTATTGCTAATTATATTTAACAAGCAATAAAAATTACCCTTCATCAAATCTATACTATATGTAGCTACCAAAATACACATTTTACTATAAGTATATTATTAACTACCAAAATTAACAAATCCTAGAACAATGTCATTTTAAACTGGGACATAATATAACAGGGACAAGCAACTATCATCTGGATAAGCTGTCTTTATATGATGACATCTATTGGATTCTCAACTAATTAATTATTGATATGCATAGTTTTTAAATGCTGTCGTTACACTAAATAACACCGATACATTTTCATAGCATCCTGTTCAGAGAATTTAAATACATGAGGAATGTAAAAATCTAAACGCAAGTTTGCTTATATAAATCTTATTTACACTGTTTTAGATACCCTTTCACAGCAATCAACAAGACAAAATGCCAGTGTGTGTACCTGATAGGACGAGAACATATCGCAGCACTAGTCTCCAGTTGCTTGTCCCTTCAAATTATGTCCTAGTTTTTAAACCTTCACTTTAGTGAATACCTGGTATGTAATTATAACAATGGCATCAAAAAGATGTAAAATGATTAATCAAATTGGAAATGTAAACAAGAGATCATAATTTAATTTTGATCATATTACTGATAACTTGAAGAGAAATTGAACAAGAGCACAATGATGGTTGTAGATCGCCCACCTGAAACAATTAAGGTACACTGCTTGAAAAGGTCACAATTCTTCAGTACATAAGTAAGTAATTAGGTCTTAATTATAAGTTGTGTCATTCTTTATCCCAGCTGCATAACTGATCATAATTATAAAATATTTATTACTTTAGATTTCTAGGCAAACTGGGCTTTGCTTCTCAGTTTAATTATATGTAAAGATACAATGAAATAATAAAATTTTAGGCAAAGTTATCTTCAAAAGATCACAATTCTTTTCAGTACAAAAGTAAGTTACATATATTAGGTCATATTATGAGCATCTTTTTTGATCCCAGCTGCATAACAAATCAAATATATAGAGGATTTATTACTTTGAAATTCTAAGCAAACTGGGTTTTGCTTTTCAATTTAATTTCCATGAAGTAATAAGATTTAAGGCAAAATTATCTCCCGACTTTGCTCTTGTAGTTTAGAAGGTTCTTTATATATGTTGACAACGTAAACTAAGAGATCCTTCAAAAAAGGATCACAAGCCACATATCTAAGCTCTCTCAATTATAGTTTATAACATGTTTATTATATCACTCCATAAAAAAGTAGGTGGGCTATTTTTCAACACTGGGGTAAGATTATAGTAGAGATCAACAGAGTTAAAATATGTAAAATAACTTTAGCTCTGGGCCAACACTGTAGTTTCTAAGTGGACGATTTTTTTAAAGATCTCATATTTAAGTCTATTTTTCACTCTTGTGTACTTTTTCTTCTTTTAATACCAGACTGGAACTATTTGTAGTAATTTTTTTTACAGGCCCACCTGTTGATCATTTCTGTGAAGATTGGACAAAATCCAACCCATTGTTTAAAAGATGTTGTTTAGAGAAGTTGTGCATTCCAACAAACTATGGACACATTTCCATCACAAAAGCTCACTTTTGAGCACCTTGTGCTCAGGTGAGCTAAAAAAGTAAAAAAAATCATACAATTATATTTGTAGATAAAAGTAAATATCAGGATATACCTTATTTAACTTAACAAAAAAAATTCATGATAAATGAGTATATTGTGTGGAATTGTTGCTAATATCTTTATGTAAATAAAAAACAGCAATATCTTCAAGTGATACAGCAAAACCTTTCAGCCACTGTTTCCCTGCATAAGACGTCATTGTTTTGGAATGTATCCACCGACCCGTTGGTAAATAAATATCTCGTTTTCGGTCTCCTAGGCACAAAACTGGTGCCACCATAATCGATTCTCCGATCAAGAATTGATCTGAAATGCGTAAAGTTTTAAAGTCTAATGGATCAATCCACCATAATGGACGCAAAAGGGGCTTCCCTTCTTTAATGTCGGGGACAATTTCAGAATAAGCCGGAATCACTACAGACTCTCTAAGCGAACTTAAATTCTTTAACAGATTTAAAGGTCTACCATCAAAATTTAACACTGCATTTGTTACTTGTAATCCTGGAAAATACATAGCCACCTCTATCCAGCGCATCAATAGCTCCGTGTCAACTACGTCTTCTGGTGGAGCCAAACTCACAACATACGGGTAGCCGTGGATACCGGCTGTTAGAGCCCCTGATATCATATAGTCCAAACATTTCTTCCCGCTCTTATTTGCAACCAGAGTTGGAATTTCTACGAACATTGACATGTTTTGCATATGATAAGCTGTTTCAATAAGAACAGATTTATTTGCACTAAGAAGTAGTGCAGCAAATTCTGAGTTGATGGCATTAATATCCGACGTGTTTCTAAACAGAGTATGGTGAATTGCTTTGTTTGCAACTGTTGTTTTAAAGTCAAATGCCTGTGGGTACAATGTCTCCTCCACAGTGCCTTTTTGTTGAAGGGAACCAAGCGCGTCAATTAGAAAATCCCTTGTTTCGGTCTTGGTGGCATCCCATAATGCACAACTCATGCCTTTATAGTGAATCATTTTAAATCCCTGCGTAAAAATATCCTTCACAAAAAGATCCCTATCAGCTCCAACTTTGAAATTTTCACCTGCTTTATAAGAGCAAGCTAAGGTCACCGGTAGCATGACCTTTGAATGCGAGTATTTGCCTTTGTCAACATTAAAGTATAAAGACAATTCATTGGCTATCCTCTCCGTAAATTTAAAATCTCCAACATTCTCTTGCCAGTCAGTGTCATATTCAATCATATTGATTGGCAAACCAACAGTATTCAGATTATGAAGGAATTCTCCGAAAGTTTTATGATTATTCTTGTAGCGATTTTCAAATTTCCATATAATTTTTGAGAAGTCGTGGTTCGCAATATCTATTAATTTTGTATGAGGGAAAAAACTGTTCCTTGTCGCAAGGTAGGTGGTTTTAATATCCGGTCCCTGGCAGATGGTATAGTTAATAGTAGGAATGACCGTCTGCTTCAAGTTCTCAAAATCTAACGAAAAACATAATTTATTATCATTATTGTCATTATAACTAAATTTTATTGGGTAATCTTGATGTACAATGATTGCACTGCCCTCGGCATTGAACCAATAGTTTTCCAAAATTTGTCCAAGAACCTCATTCCCATATGGCAGATATGTCTGTTTATCAATTGACACTGCATTTCCTTTCACCGGCCAAAACGACCCCTTAAAGTTTGGCAGTCCATACCAAAGTCCAAATTCTATATCATAGCAGTCTATGGGTATATGAAAATTGTTCTTCATATCTGTCCAAACAATATCATTACAATGTACTTGAGCATTTTCTAAAGTATACGGAAAAAATCGAAATATTGTGTCATCCCCAAATCGAAAACAAAACACATCGTCTGTCTGGTACTCATCACATTTCTCCACTTTCCCTATATCTAACTCGCTGCTTTTCAAAATACCCGTTAGAACAATATCGTCTTTATGATTATACACGTTAAGTACCCGTTGCTTCGATACAAAGTCGAAATACTGATTTCCAATGTTTTTCCTTGAGCGACCTTCATGGAATGACCAAATGATGATGATGCCGACAACTATAACAATAAAAAGAAATGTGACAACTACTCTCAAAATTTTCTTCTTGCATGATGCATGTGGGGCTTCTTCTTCCTGCAAACAAAATGAAACAAAATAATTTTACCAACAATTTAACAGACATTCCCTTGCAAATATTTACCATTCCTTTAGTTTACTTACCATTTTCCGTTTTTTTAAAAATAATTCAAAAACTCGTAAACAGTTCAATGATATAATATTCGCCTTGCTCTGTGAGCTCATCTTATACAAGTGACAAGCTATGAAATTCACTATCAATTCATTTATATAACAACATACAATAAAATCATTATCATTCATGGGGCACTAGTTTTCATAGTTTTCGTGAATAAGTCAAACAAGGAATTTCAGATCCAATGAAATTTCATTTCTTCTGTTGTAAGATTATTTTGCAATACAATTTACATTTTACTTTTGTGCACAAATTGACAATCTAACGAAATTTACATGCCAATGAAATTCATTGTAATTAAGTTATAACTGCTGTTACAAAACTTATACAGACCGAAAGGCTCTTCAGGTATTTGTCTTTGCTGGTTCCTCCCTGTGATAATGATTTCGTACCTAATGATGAAACACTGCCACCTGTAATTTCTGAAGCGCCACCTAGGTTACCATAATGAACACCTTTCACAGGGTCTGAGTGAGACAACAACTTTTCATGTTCTTTCTCTCTGTAAAAAATAGAATAAACCTTATAAATTCATTATTGTATATAAATCAATTATGAAAAAAATAGAATAAATGTTTTTTATTATTTTATATAAATTAATTTAAGTGTGATCACTCAGGCCATTAATTTCATGCATTAGCAAATGATTTTTCATCAGTTATGTTTCTGTCAAATTTAAGACAAAACTAGAAATGTGCCCATAGGATGCCTCTGCTCCTACACCATTTGCTGTGATAGTGGTATATTTAGATACTTAATATATGCATATCTTATAATTTTTATGTCAAGATTTATATCAATACGTAATATTTATATGTATAAATAATAGTGTTATAAGTAAAATATTTCATGAATTTGAGAAACTCATTTTCTTGATTTGACAAGTATTTAATGTGTTACTTAAACCACTCAATTTATGGTTATGACCAACCCCTATAACAAATTTTATGACTGTAAGCTTTTGTCCAGTTTTTACATAGGTAAACCATCATGATAATTAAACCCATCTTATTAATACAGGTAAATATATTTCAAGTACTGTCAGATTATTTGCAGATGACACTTAACTATCAATAACAATTCCTCCTAAGACACCCCCCAACACGATCTAGACAATATGGTTCTATGGGAGATGCAGTGGGACATGGAGTTTAATCCTTCAAAGTGCCAAGTCATTCATATATAATTTATGGGAAATTATGCTCCATGACCAAGTCCTAGAATTGTTATCTTGTGCTAAATATCTTGGACAAGATCTGTCTGCTGACATAAAATCTAACACTAATCTCTGCAAGCCCACATAGGTTAACCAGATATATGAACCCCTTATCCCTGCATCAAATGCAAGTTTCCTCTGACTTCCATAAGAAATTCTTTCTTCCTCTGTCGATAGCATTTTACTATGGAACTAAATCCCTAGGAACAATTCCACCCTGCCTAACTTAAGTCAATTCAAACAGGCAAAAGTAGGGTTGCAGCATTAGTCTTGCACCCGGTGTTGTAAAAAAAATTATCCTTTGTCTTTCCTATCACTATTCACATTTTAACCATGACTAGAGTACTTTTCCAGTCTCACCTTTCAGCTTCCTGGCATGATTATAATGTCCGGGACTATTTTACTTTTCTTTCACCTTTTACTAGCAATTCAATGCGCCACTTAATTCCTGCCTTAACTCTCATGAAATGGGGCTATGGGTCAAATGATATATGCAGTGCCACATGACTGTATACATGGCATAAGTACCTAAACATGGTTCAATTTTATCATTGACATACTCTTTTATCGATGCATATGTGTTAAATTGCAACTAGTCCAACTAGTTCAGTAGTTGTACTACACAGTTAGATGCTTTTTTTTGTGTAAGGGCAATTTTTGTAGATATGTCCTAACTGTATCCCACTGTAACCTTGTATCCCTTGTCATGAGGGGGTGAAAAATAATTGTGGTTTTGTCATTTGTGCCATATTAGTCCTATAAATATGACGTCGCTTTGAGATATTTTTGCTTCTGGGCAAAGCAACGTCATATCGAAATTGCTCAAAAACCCATAGCATGTTCCGCCAGAAAATCGGGCGGAACGAAAAACAATGAAGACAGCGTGTATTTACATAAGTTTTGACCTATTTATGAACAAAACTAAAAAAGAAATACCTTTTGTCAAAATAATTAAACTGTCACATCCGAAAAATCATGATTAAATCCTCTCATGTATTTCAATTCTTTTTACAGCCGATAAACAAATGGCGGCCGTAAAGTGCGCGAAATCTGATTGGCTAATTCAAATGCAAGCGTTTAACTGAGTCAGAACAATCTAACGGAATATTTTTTTAACGAAATAATTGCCCATGCACCGTCAGTGTGTTCGAATATATTTTTCCGTTCAAAAATTTGGAATCAATCTGTAAAGCACATTGCTTAACCAGTATGGCTGATAGACAAAAATAGATTGATGTTTATATTTTATTTTAAATTGATTAGTACATTGTTTGAGAGTGTTTGTGTATGATTGAGCATGAAATTGAAAGAAAAGAAGATAAGCTTTTGAATGAAGCTTGAAAGGCAAGAAAATAGACATTTTTTGAATTTTTTATGATGCTATGCGTTTTTGAGCAAAAACTATTAGACGTCAGGCTTGACCGACATAAACTATAACAAGCCTGTAACGTCTAATATATTGGACTAGTGCCATATATGATTATCTGACCCAGAACAAACATATCCTAACTTTGGCATGTCAATATATTTTGACTAAGTTGCAACATGAGAGTGGAAGGACCAGGTGTAACAATAAATTATTGCTTGTGGTGTATAACATTTAAGGTTATGCAGACCTATATGTCACAATCTAATTGACAGCCAAATTGTCCTAATTTACTTCATAAACCATTGCCCATTTAACTATTAAATGTTCAGATTTTTTAAAATTTATTTTCAAGAATAATCTTTGGTCATTGTTGCATTGGTTTCAATAGGTCTTATATCAGTTTGTCATTAATCATTAATGATAAGAACTTCTAAAGATATAAAGAAACGAAAATTTGCATAATTTATTCTACCGGACAGTTTAAATAAAAATAGCGGAACCGATTTTTAATGAAAATATATGGTACTGTCCATCACCTATTCACATGCCACTCGATCTAGACTTTAAATATATTCAATACCTTTTTAAATCGTTCTTTGGAGGGGGTTCACTATCCATTGTTTTTGTTGAAATTTCGTACTACATATTTACAACGTTTCGGTCATCAGTGGCTATGATAAATGCAGAAGAATTCCAAATGTTCAATTAAAAGATAGAATAAATTCTGTACTCAAATAGATAGGATAAATTCTGTACTTTTTCGTACGACTATTCGTATAACGTCTGCTTGTTTTAATACTATTCCCATACATCATAAATCTCCAATTCGTGCTAAAAGTAAAATCAATAACCATTATTTAACCACATCACCTTGACCTTCACTCATAAATGACATTGAGCTTGAAGGTAAAAATTTCACTGATTTTTGCTATAATTGACTGTACTTAACTTGGTAATTAATTAATTAATGGATTACCATCATACTTAGACAAAACAACCTTTTGGAAAGGACCTTCTAAAATGTTGAACTTGTCTTTGAGCTTTAAATTACTTAACTGTCAAGGTCAAATTATTGAATTTTGGTTAAGTTGTCATAATTTTATTTATGTGAATTTTGGTTAAGTTGTCATTATTTTATTTATGTATGGATTTGATTCATTCCTGGTTGGAAAAACAATACTTGTGACCAAACAGACATATTATGACCTTGACCTTTAAATGAACTTGGCCATCAAGGTCAGATGAATGAATTTTGGTTACCGGTATATTTTCTTAATTTTGTCATTTATTTATGGAAATGATTTATACTTTGACAAAGCAGCAATTGTGACTAGACAGAGCTATTGAAATAAAAAAAAAAGATTTTTTAAATTTTCTTTTCTTTCATTTTCTTAATTTAATTTTTTTTTAAATTCATTTTTCTGCATTTTTTTTAAACTATTGTAAAAAAGTAAAAAATTAAATATTGCCTCCACCCAATGGTGGCTCTTGTGCTGGTCAATTTTAGTTTAAACGGTTAGCTCCTTGAACCAATTTGTCCACTTTCAAAGCACTATGGTGTCGCAATTTATTATGAGGAACATCATTGCGACTCCAAACCTGTGATCCATGATTGAAGGAGAGCACTTTCCATTCACATTAAGATTTCCCAAATGTGAGAAAAAAATTAGTGTTTCTGTAATAAAATTTACTTGTAAAATACATCACATGCCTAATTTGTGAGCTGAGAAATCTCCAACAACACCATTGGTTATTAAACAGACCATTGATGTTAAAACTATTTCCAGGTTTTCATAAATTATACTATACCTCTCTACATGCACTGACCACATGAGACAATATTTAATTTCTTTCCAGCATCCTCTCAACAAAATGGGAAGCACTTAATCTTATGTTGCAACAACTTGTTGCCCAACCTATTTGCTTTTGTTAAACATATACTTATCATTTGTACATGTATGCGATGCAATAAAATGTTTAAGCTAACAAATAAAATCTTTCTTTCCCAAAGGTGCGCCTCTGCTGAGGTTGTACTATATACCTAATATTTGTATTTTGAAGCATAGTTTTCACATGGCCTCAATGTTGCAAAAACAATTTAACTGTTTTATGGTAATAATAAATATTCATAAGTATTGTCATCTTGTACATTTTTTACTTCCAACTTTTTGACCTTTTGATGAAACAACATTTCATTACCATAGTGCAATAATAGGTTAACTTCTTATATAATTCAATAGGAGTTAAAACTGGTAAATGCACTAAGATGATGGTTTGTAATACATGTATACGCTTTGGCTACAATTAAATCATTGATTTTACTTTAATTATATCAAGACGTAATTTCAAGGAAATAAAATAACACAACTTCCATGACCATGTATCATTTTCTACAGTGTTTATTTCATAAATCTGTCAAGTGTTCTTACAGGGTTTAAAACAATAAATACATAAATACAAGTGACACTAGCAGATGATGCTATGAAACAGAAGCTATGATATGTAGACAAAACGAAATCTATTTTTAGCCTTACCAACGTTGACCTAAACTAATTTGACCTTAACCTTGCCTAAATGTAGAGATTCATCTAACGTACAAGCACTCTATGATGTTGCTATGACAAAGAAACTAAAAGCATGGCCTTATTTTGAAGAAAAATCAGAAAATCTATTTTTAGCCTCAATGACCTTAACCTTGCTCAATCAAAAGGAACCAGTACGAAAACTGTCTATAAGTAAAGGTGCTATAAGATAAATTTTCATAAAGAAACAACAGCTGTCTGTCAGAGAAGCAGCATGCTTCATTATTCTCAGTGCTGGATAGTATGATAAATGCAAAGTAGAAACAGGGACATAAACTGCTTGGAGGAATTACTTAACCTTGATAGCAAAACAAGTATTTAAAATTTGTACTGAATATCTGTGATAGTTGTTTTTTTGAAAAAATAAGGAAAAATATTAAAAATTATGTTCAAGAGATATTATTAAGGAAAAATGATTTTATGGTTATCTCCCCTGGCTTAAGAAAAACATTTCAATTTTGATAGTTAACAAGTATTCAAAGTTTCAAAGTGGATATCTTTGAAATTTACCTTAACAAAAAGGTTTAACCAGAATAAAAAATCTAATTCAAAAAGTGGAACTAAAAAACTACATAAGCATAATTTTTCTAACAAAAATTCCCTTATCCCTAAGTACCATATTTTCCAATCCATTAAAATAATTTTATCAAAGAAAACCAAAAATACCTATCCTGTAATACTTGTATACTCATATACTTTTTTATTTAAATTCACATCTGATAATTTTAGAAATCATTGCATAAATTTTTTTTTTGTCATTGTGAATATATAAACATTTATGCATACAACAATAAAATGCGTATTTCTGAAAGCTTTTTAATGAACTATGAAATTTTTAAATTACTCGTAGTTGCTTATTGTGTTACAAAACAGCTGGTCAATTTATGCGAATAATTGCTTCATATAAATAAGTTATTTGTTTCTTGTAAGTGTTCTTTGTTTTTCTGCATGCTCAATAATCTTTTTATCAACTTTTAATCCTTTACGCTCTCGCACATTGTTCATGTACAATCGTGCACGATTCTCACAGTCGGCTTTCTCGCCATAATGCATGATCTCTTCTTCCGTGGTCGGCACCCAAAATGGATCAACATCAATAGTCTGCAATAAATAAATAAATTATCTTTTAATCAACTCAAACCAAAGGTAAATTTACCCATTGTCTGCTGGTGGCTCCTGATTGTATTCATTCAACCAGTGCAGACCATGATCAGCTGACACATCTGTGCTGTCTGATCATGGTCTGCACTCTTCGCTATTCATTCAGTTCATATTTTGTACTCTTTCCTAAGGATGATGAATGGTTCTGTCCAGATTGTTTGCTTGTTTGGTTTTACAGCACATCAGCAAAGTTTAAGTCATAAGTCACCAAAACATGAAAGACGACTTTTCTAACATTTGGTGTTACAAACTTCAAACCAAAACACCAGGGGTCAAACCAACAAAAACTAAAATTGATTGTATTTTCCTAGAATTAAATGGTACATAGACAAAATATATAAAACTTGCTTATTTGCGCAGAAACAAGCCTATTTCTGGATGATATCAACAAATTACAAAACAAATACAAAAATAATGAATCAAAATAAGGATAAAATCAATATTTGGATCAACTGTAAAATGCGCAAATTTTGTTAAATAACAATAAATCCATCCTAAAATTTTATAAACATGCAATTTTATGTCCAATTCTATTAAGTTAATATCAAATATTAATTACATGAGGATAAACAATGGAAAATATTTGAGTTTTTACATTTGATCCTGTTCTTGAACTGATCCTTAAACCTTAGTAAACATGGGGCCTGGGACCATGTACAGCTGGGAAGTTGCTTTATAACAATGTTACATTACAAATGTGACACTAAAATCCATGCAAAAAACCGTACCTCCCAGTGACTGAATACCAGCTGAGGACTTGCCAAGCCACTTGTTTTCTTCCGGATATCCTCCGAGAAGCCAAAACTCTCAACTACTGGAATGACTGCTACGATGTTAAATATTTGAGAACCCTCTCGCATTTCATCTTGGAGTACTCTACCATTTCTCTTCCCGATCACGCCAAATAGCTTCCCTAAAAACAAAAGTCAAAATACAGCACAAATAGAATAGGTTCCCTAAAAATAGATTTGAAATACAGAACCAAAAGCGTCTGTAAATGATAGAGCCAAATAAGAGCACCGCATGTGGTATTAACGTTATACGTTAAGGGCAACATCTATCAATAACCAATTATTAAGCTTTCAGAATTATACCCCTTGTCTAACAACTGCACCTTGACATGTTATCTATAACCAGCACTGGTGTTATAACATATAGAATTTAGGGGAAACAAGTGCTGTTTGTAAGACAGTACACTCGACCATTCTAAGTGCTTTACACTAAGAAAGGGACATAACTTTGTAAAACATTAACACTGAGTTATGGGACCTGTGGCCATCATTTGAAAATCACACAGAACAAGAGTGTGAAGTGTAAACTCATTTCCTTCAGTAGTTTTGGAGATACTAACTTGCATATATAACCAAAGAATGGCACCAACGCCAATGCCAACACCAATGCGGGGATGAGTACAATAGCTTTCCCTAATCTTTGAATAGTCAAGCTAAAAAAATCTATCAAACCAAATGTTAAATTATAAATTACCAATGAATATTTTCAGACACTTACCAAGAACATCTGCAGTTGCCTGTATATTACATTTATACATGGCGGCCATTATACGTTGAGGCTGTGTTTGAAACGATTTCAGGCATCCTTCCTTCACTATAGATATTAATTGTCCCGACACATGACCTTTCATATCTGTCCTCTTCTCTTTATCACCTCCTGAAGTGCTCGCCTCTGAAATCTCGGGACAGGGACGATTTTCATTTACTAATGAATCAGTTGCTATAGAAACATTATTCTCTAAATTTAATTTAGACAACTGTACATGCATCTGTTCATCTACATTTGTTATTTGTTTTGTGACTAAGGTATTCTCACATATATTTTCTACATCCCCATTTCCAATAACCTGAGGTCCAATTTCCCATTTTTCCATGATAAAGCAGACGCCCCTCATTGGCTCATCACAAAGGGGCCCTGTAAGGGTTGCAAGCTGGAATCCACTTACAACACTATAATCATAATCCCTTGCTACCACTGTCACATCTGTTTTATCATCCCTTAAACAACCCCACATTGAAGTTCTATTGTAGCCATCCACTTTATTCAACAGCAAATTTGGTCCAACTCTCTTAGGTCCAAATGCCCATATAGAATCAACACAACCTTTCCATTGTTTACCAGCTTCTAAAAATAATTTTTCCAAGTTATCTTTAAATTCTTTAATTGCTTCTTTAGTTGACTGTTTTAAACTAGATCCAATTATATCAGATTTGTTTCTTTTTGATATTTTTGCCGATATATACTGATCAAGGGTTTTAATCAAGAACGCGTTTTCTTCGAGATAGTTTGTGACCTCGTGCGGAAGCGGCACAGCTCGTATCTGTACCATACAGTATCTGCTTGGTGTGAATATCCTAACTAAACCAGGTTCTAAAACTTCCTCGTCATCATCGAACTCGCGCTGTTTCTCATTTTTTCCGACAGGATTCTGTTCCTGTATTGACTCGTTCACCATATCAATCGTTGGAGGACGTACGATCGTTTCCCTGAATGGTACTATCGGAGACGAGGCAGAGATTTCTATTTTAGCATATCTGAAAAAAAAAAAAATTAAACAAAATTTCAATGACACCAATGTAACTTACACACATTCACAGATTTAGTCTTCTATTTATTCAGTTCAGAGATTGATTTTAGCAAATCTGAAAAAAAATATTAAAATTTCTATGATTCATATGTTTTACGCATTCACAGATAAAGTTATCTTCGTAATCAATCTGAGCACAATATTAAAGATTAACAAGACTTAAAAGCTGAATTCTTTCAAGTGATTAAAAAAGTGCAGATAATATACCAAATGTTTGGTATTTTACTTAGACACTCCCTTGTGTCTGTAATAAGCAGGGGAATTAGGACGTTTGCCTTTATCAGTAAATGAGGCAAATCATGTTTTGATCTTTACAGATTCACTAAGCATTATATTATCTATACTATGTTGGTGCACCATAAAACCAAACAAACAGACAAACAGATTCACTAAAACTTGAAAATCTAACTGGAATAAACCTTTCAATAAGATCATCCAAACATCGACGTAAGTGGACCTCTCCTGCAGTGATAATCACATGTTCACCTGTTTCCTGTACAAGAACCTGTACACACGGGTCTGCTTGATTAAGTAACTTAAGTCCTGCAACCAACTTTGGCATGTCTCCTAAAAAATAATGTTCAAACATGTAGTAAAAAGTGAACATTAAACATCACTAAAGAGGTTTGTACATGCACAACACAGCATTTATTTACCCCCACCCCCACTCTTTATTTATTCCAATATCTATTTCAGTGTAATAGTTTATATTAACAGATTTTTAAAGCTACATGCCTCCAGATGAGTAAAAATATTTCAATAAAATCAAACTGGAGAAAGATGTACTAAGATGTAAGGAAAAGTAAAAAGTTTCAAGATTTAAGTAATATTTTACATATTATGTGCTATTAATGACTGATTTTTCAGTATTTACTATATTTCTACTGAGTAAATAATGCAGTAAAGGCTATTTATGCATATTTTGACCACTTTTTGGTAAATTACATGGTTTGTAAGTGCCATAGATAATGTGTAAATTGCTTCATTTTGGTTAATTCACAATATTACACATTCAAATACATTTTCATAATTTTCATGAAAATTAGCATGAAGCTGAAGGCGTGCTGCTTTAAAATTATTGTATCATTTGCAAAATTTCAGTTCATTTGCTCACTTTTTTGTCAGAATTATCATTTTAATTGTGCAAAATGATCCAACAAAAGAAAAGTGTTTTAATGCTTTTAATGCAAATTGGACTAATAATGGCACAAGAGAATCGTTTTCAAATGTAATTTGGAAATTATTTCTCAACTATCTTTTGCATATTTTTCCTACATTGCCTAAATTAATCTATATTAAAATTTCAAACTCTATGTTTTTCAACATTTGAACTCTGTGTAGCTCCATTAAGAATCTACAAACATGTAACTTACCAGCATGTACCGGTTCAAGAGCTACACGCAGTATGGGTGAGACATCAAAGTATAGATCTGTGAATGATGGACAGGCTACAGTACTAGACAGTGTTCCTGACTTTAATATATGATCCTCAAGTCCACCTATACCTGAAAAATTAAATATAAGATATTTCAAGTCAAATTAACTCTTAACACCTATACCTGAAAGTGAAATATTAACTTTCTCCAGTCAAATACACACTTTACACCTATACATTAAAAATTAAATAGTCAAATTAACATGTCCCTGAAAACTAAATACAAACTTTTTCAGTCAAATTAACACTTACAAATTTTATCTGAATGAGCACTTTGTGTTAAGGTGAGCGTAAAAAAAGAAGCTGACAACTGCAATAAAACTTTTTTCAAAACATATACAGGGTATCTTCAAAAGGCAAACATTTCATAAAATCTACAGCCAGGTTTAATATTTATGAATTTCTTCTTTTAGTTCTGTTCCAGTAATACTTAGATAATGAGTGAACATTTATTTTCGAGAAAATTTTCAGTTTGCAAAATTAGCGAAATTCAATCCCTCACAAAAATTTCTTACTTTACAGTAAGTTATAATATTTACCAAGAACATTTCCAGCAGGTACACAATCTAAGGCCTCCAGTTCACGACCCATAAATAGATAAAGGTCAGTTACCGTGACAACCGTAACATGTTCATCTCCCGTTAGATCTTCTAATCTTTTAGCTCCATACATACCATTCGATTCTTCTGATATCTGCAAATAAATTCTTTATTAATTAACATCAATACATACTACCACAATTTTTTTATATGTACATATATATATATTCTTTTTTTAAATCAAGGCAGTTATTATCAAGTACACATGTACTTAACATGAAGTATTCATAATCGGTGTAGTAAAGCAACTTCAAGAGACAGAAAATTGTTACAAAACCACGTTTTCTGCCAACATTATTAAACATTTGGGAAACAAAAAACAAAGAGCCATAATTCTATCCAAAAATGCTTGAATTATAATACATTGTCACTTGGTCACATTAGTTCTTTTAAGGTTTGCCCATTATGTATCTACCAGACACAATTTTACCTCACATATGTAAAACAGAAAAAGTTTGGTAAATAATGAAGAATACCTTGTTTAAAGCAATAGCAGGATCGTGTTTAGGTCCAAGGACATACAGCTTTTGTCCTTTTCTCACACATCCACTAAACACACGAGCAAACGCTACAAACACTTGATCTGTATCGTCCTTTTTATCTTCACTGCTCTCTACCACAACTTTTGTCTCACCTAGATATTGAAAAATATAATACTTTAGCTTCTAATAGTAAGATTAACTGACAAATTGATTATACATTATAATACTTTCTTAATCTACTGATAAAAATAAGATCTTGTTTCACTCTTTCAACATGTTATGCTTTAAGGAGACCAATACGTGAACTTTCAATCTGTCACATAGGTTAAATGCATAATAGCCTTTGGTTTCAACTGTTAAATCAAAGACTATCAATCTGGAATTTTAATATCAAAATTGATGACTTGCTTAATATCTCAAGATTAAGTCAAAATGAAAATGACAGACAGATGGAGTAAAAGAAATAAGCAAGTTCACAATAGCTCATTAAGGACATACTTTTTTATCCACACAAAAACACAAAACACAAAAGTTTTCTGAAAACGTGGATGCTAAGACAGCTTTCTAAACAAGAGCCGGTTGAACCGGGTGATGCTCCCCGAATAGGTTTTGGACACAGGAAGGTATACCTCTTGTAGTGTCAGAGTTATGTCACAGACAAAGTTCAAAGTGTAAAAACAACCAAAATGTTGCGTGCGACACATTGTCTCAATATGGTGATCATTTCTGTGAAATAGTTGTAAAATCCTACTTCAAATAACGAAGTTATGGGCCGGACACGATTTTGCTGCAAGGTCATGCTGTGACCTTGACCTTCAAGGTAGCGACCCAAATGTTGCGCGCGACACATCATCTCAATATGGTGATCATTTCTGTGAAATAGTTTTAAAATCTGACTTCAAATAACAAAGTTATGGGCCGGACACAATTTTGCTGCAAGGTCATGCTGTGACCTTGACCTTCAAGGTAGTGACCCAAATGTTGCGCGCGACACATCGTCTCAATATGGTGATCATTTCTTTGAAATATTTTTAAAATCCGACTTCAAATAACAAAGTTATGTGCCGGACATGATTTTGCTGCAAGGTCATGCTGTGACCTTGACCTTTAAGGTAGCGACCCAAATGTTGCACGTGACACATCGTCTCAATATGGTGATCATTTCTGTAAAATAGTTTTAAAATCTGACTTCAAATAACAAAGTTTTGGGCCGGACACGATTTTGCTGCAATATCATGCTGTGACCTTGACCTTCAAGGTAGCGACCCAAATGTTGCACGCGACACATTGTCTCAATATGGTGATCATTTCTGTAAAATAGTTTTAAAATCTGACTTCAAATAACAAAGTTATGGGCCGGACACAATTTTGCTGCAAGGTCATGCTGTGACCTTGACCTTCAAGCTAGCGATCCAAATGTTGCGCGCGACACGTCGTCTCAATATGGTGATCATTTCTGTGAAATAGTTTTAAAATTCCGCTTACAAATAACAAAGTTATGGGCCGGACACGAATTCGGGACGTACGGATGGACGGACGGACAACCCGACGACTAATATTATGCTCCTCCGAAATTTTTCGGGGAGCATAAAAACATGAATGCCAAAATATCACCTTCTGAAGAACTAGGAGCTGAGGATTGTTCATTTGATTCTCCAGTAGTTTTCCCAGTCATTCGTTCAGCATGCCTGAGACGCGCTATCTCCCGACGACGCTGCAGTTCTTCTTCTGTCAATGGTCTGTATAAGAAAAGTGATTTACTAGTTTGATATTATCTTAAATTTATGGAAAATTTTAATAAAATGAACTAATTATTTTGATACATACATATTAGAATTCAGATGAAAATAAGGTCATTTTCAATGATAGTATGCATCAATCTGGATCAATTTTTCCTGGAAGTGTCATCTTTATCCATTTTAATGAGTACAGTCATTTTTAGCTAACTACCGTTTAGAAAACTCAATAACCGGTTACCGTGGTTAGTACTTGACAAAGAGGCACAAAGTTTTAAATTGATTCTAAATATAACCTAGGTTTTTATTACAAGATATGACAATTTGTTTGTGTTTTAATTGCACTCAACGACATTTTTTTTTTATCAGATCCTGAATGGTATGACCTTATTGGAAAATATTACTCCATAATTACATGTATGAGGATATGTTTTAAAATCATTTTGAGTATAACAAAATACGAACAAAATGTCATATCTTGTCATAAAAAAATGTAATGTTCAAAATGTAAGGATATTATTAGTATTGTTGGTTAAACATTTAACATGGTTTTTAGCTCCCTGTTTAAACAGTAAGCATTTTTTCTGAACGTGTCACCCCTTATTTTCTGATATTTCAGTATTGTAAATAATATGCCAAAATAAGCAATAGACAACTTTCGTGTTTTTGCACGTGAACATTTCCGCATTTCCATAGCAAGCATTTCCATGGCCAATACTAAGGGAAAATAAACATAGGTCAACACAATCAAATGAAAATAATACAACTGATCAGAATATCACACTTGTATAATATTCCCAATAAACATGTAGTTAATAAACAACATGTAACTATTGCGTACCTTTGTTTGTTTTTGGGTAGTAATGCCCTGTCTACTGGGAACATCTTAGAAACAAATACAATTACAGGGATATCTTCTGAGTCCTTACAAGACAGAAAGTCTGAAAAGAAAATCAAACTATATTAAATAACATTTTAAATCTTATGCCTTAAAAAGAGAGCTGTAGAATCAAAAATTTAAGTAAAATATACAATTTCTTTCATTTCACAAATTGTAGATTTTCATTAGAAATAAATGCTTGTTAAGTATCTTAGCATCATAGAGAGAACTTAATTGATTTTGCAAAATATTGCCCTCGCGTAAACATCTGAGCCGCGTCATGACAAAACCAACATAAAGGGTTTGCGACCAGCATGGATCCAGACCAGCCTGCGCATCCGCGCAGTGTGATCAGGATCCATGCTGTTCGCTTACAAACCTTATAACAAGTAGAGAAACTGATAGCGAACAGCATGGATCCTGATCAGACTGCGCAGGCTGATCTGGATCCATGCTGGTCGCAAACCCATTATGTTGGTTTTGCCCTCGCGTAAACATCTAAATAAACAGTATATTAAACTTTCAGATATATTGATAATCTGTTGACATCTTCTTCCTTGAATAAATCCAAATTACATTGACCTGAACAGCCGTAAGTCAACATTTTCATGATTTTATCTTACATAACTTGCATAAATGTGATAACTGAAATGGGCCAAAACTGGATTTTTAACTGGAAAAAGGGGCTCAAAACAGGCTTTTCTTAACCAATCCCAATTTTAACATGTGTTTGACACATTTGGTATAAAGAACCCATATTGATACCCTCAAAATGAGTAGTATTTCAGCAAGAAGATTTAGAGTACGAAATAATATGATCACCTTTCTTTAGATCCTGCGTCTGTTTTGGCATGGAGTCGAACCTCCTTGCCTTGTTACACATCAACTTCTCAACTTTCTCCTCCTCTATATCAAGTGGTGAAGGCAACTTTTCAACAACTTTACCTGCAAAAATAGTATCAACTGAATAAAAAACCCATCTTTAACAGTACAGATAAATCATAAATTAACTGAAAATTTATCTGTTAATAATAAATGTAATGTGATTAACAGATTGTCTAAACTACATATAGATGCTTTTGTAACAACTTTTAAGTCTGATTCTTGGCATACATGGAATCATGGTCTTGCCAAAAGTAAGGCCAAAACCCAACAATTCCAGAGTTTAATTCTGGTGATGCCTTTAATAGAGACCATACATGTCAATCAGAATATATGCATGTGTGAATTATCAGTTATATAAAAGGCCTAAGCAGAATCCCTTTAAAAGCTTTCAAACAAAGATTGAAATATTTTACTAAAGGATAAGCGTAGTATATCTTTAAGCATACCTAGGACAGCATTAGACACAGGTAGCCATTTTCCCATCAGCGCTTGTAACTGAATACGAGCATCATTGTGCCGGGAATCACGAGCGGTTATTTTTAGGTCGAGAGATTTCACAATTTTTTCCGTCATTTCTTTATCACGTCTAACCATCACTGCATCATAAACAGCCCAGATACTCTCCAGAATAAACTGGACAAATAGTGGCTTCTTTCCTTTGCACTGAAATATAAAATTTAGATTTAATAAATATTTTAAAAGCTATTCATCAAATGCAAGCCTTGCATGTAAATTTTGAGGATCCCAATATTCTTAAGTTTTTCCCCACAATGAAATGCAATTAAACACTAAGAAATAGCAATATCATTATGTTGAAATTATGCTTCCCTGACTAGTGAATAAAGATAAATGAGCCGTGTCACGACATAACCAACATAGTGCGTTTGCGAACAGCATGGATCCAGATCAGTCTGCGCATCCGCAGGATCCATGCTGTTCGCTATCAGTTTCTACACTTGTAATAGAGTTGGTAAGCGAACAGCATGGATCCTGATCAGACTGTGCGGATGCGCAGGCTGGTCTGGATCCATGCTGGTCGCAAACCCATTATGTTGGTTTTGTCGTGACGCGGCTCAAATGTAAGGTTAGTAAATTACCACCAAGCAATGAATATGTCATGACAAAGTGAGAAAATTATCTTCATATCAAGTATAAGTCATTGACTTCAAATCATTCAAAACAATCCCTCAACTCTCTGGTTTATTTCATACAAACTTTTTTTCAATTTGGGAGGCTACAGAGTGGCTAGGGAAAGTCAGGAGTTCTAATTAAGTGCCCTTTGGTGTTTGAATTAATACAGAGAGGGGTTAAGTTTAAAACATTTCATTATGTCTGTAGGTAAAACCAAAAAAAAAAAAAGCAACCAAAAAAACCATACAAAACGTGAGCAAACAATACAACTTTCCTTCTTACAAGAAATAAAATAAAATATTTCTAATCTATAAACAAAGCAACTAACCTGTGCACCTTTCATTATACGTTTGGTTTTAGAATTAAGAAAGAAATCTCCCCACAGTGTTTGACGAAGACCAGCTTCATTCATGCCAAGTTTCTTTCCATATATCTCAGCAAACTGGTCAATACTAAAATAATGAGAAAACTGGTCAATACTGAAATATTGGTCAATATTGAAATATTGCGGAAACATGTCAATAATTAAAAATTGAGCATAAAGAAAACTTGTTGTATGAAGAAAATAGGTCAATACAGTAAAACTAAAAGTGAGAAAAACTGCTCGAAACTAAAATAGTGAGAAAAGCAGTCTACATTGAAAAACACAGTGAACTGACCAAAGGTGAAAAAGAGAGTACACTTGTCAATACTGAAAAAGACAGCCAAATGGTTAATACTGAAAAGGTGGGGACATTTGTTAACACTAAAATAATCAGAAAATTTGTTAAAGCACACTAGGTGGTACTGAAATAATTAGCTTTATGGGTTATTACTGAAATAGTGCAATTCTTGCTACCAAGTATGATGTACCTATAATCATCATTTCACCAATATAGTGTTCATCAAACTTGAAAACCAATGAAAAAAAACACCTAACAAAATCAATATTTACCTAAATCCCCACCCATCATAGGCTGCAGCAAAGAGGACATTACCAAGTTCTGGTGAGAAGTACATGTTTTTATGCTCAAATTCATCAGCATCTTCTGTCCAATCATATGTCTGTGTAAACAAATGATTCATATGATTTTAACCTTTATATAGTTTTTGATCAATGAAAATTATTACTGAATTTCAGATTCATAAAGAAAATTTGCCACAATTATTTTTATTGGATTAAAATGAGCAAAATACTCCACAAGGTGTTCACATACACAGGGTTTTCATTTTTATCTAAGAAAGAAAATAGCCGATTTGGCCAAGGGTTAAGGGGGATTTTGAATATACATGCTAAAAGTATACCTGATTTAACAGAATTTCAACCAATGAAATGGATCTCCAATCTGCTAATAATGAAAAACCTGTGTAAAAATTAATTTTAATTTTGTTTCCTTTTTGTTTTTCTTTTGCAACCAAGTAATGGGTATATTAAACTACTCATTTCACACAAAGTTGAATTTTTAAATAATTTAAATTGAGCTTCATCGTTTTTCTTATATTTTTGGGTTTTTATTTTCGAATCTCACATAACCAGCATTCTAGAGCTTATAATATGAAACTACTCATTTAACACCAAGTTGAATTTTTAAGTAATTTATTTTGAGCTTCATCGTTTTTTTTATATTTTTGGGTTTTTATGTTCGAATCTCACACAACCAGCATTCTAGAACTGATAATATAATAGTCATACCTGTTTCTGTTCACTAGATGGGTTGGATGGAGAATCTGTCGTCTGCATTGACATAATATCTGCTGTAAATAATTCACTGGTCACGAGGTTAACCTAAAACAACAACAACAACAACTTTACAATCGACTATGCAAACTATTAAAATGGAGTGAAAAATATCACACAATGCAAGTTAATGTGGAAAATATAATTTGCTAAGCCAATAAAACTGGCTGAAAATAAATTTAGTGCTCGCAAATTTTTTTAAGCCAATCACCGACGAGGATTTTTCAAATTTTCAGGTTTCAAATCTTAATAGAACAGATTTTATATAAACTGGACGTTTTATATTATAAAACGCAAGTGGGTGGAGCACTAAGCCGGTTAGAGTGCATATTGGATGTTCTTCGTAAATAAGAAAGCTACAGTCGCTTCGCAAGCTCCCCGCTCCTTTTTAGCTTTCTTATTTACGAAGAACACCCAATATGCACTCTAACCTATACATGGAACATATTTTCAGCATTGTTTTGCTATGTAAACTTTAAATACCTATGTAAAGAAAGTGTATATTAAAGAACTGAGATACTAAATATTTCTTTTTTCTTTTTGAGGCAATAAGGTATAAAACCAATAGTATTGTGCAGTTGGTGAAATTCATATACAACTGCAGCACAAATGTATACAGTTGTGTTTTTTTCCTAACATTACCCAGTAAACACAGATTACTTCCCCTGATTTGTCATTTTCATGGTCATTCCTGATATATCTTTGATGATGATTCTTACAATTCTATCAATCTCATGTAAAGATGATAAAAATCTTTTTCATAAATGAGCAGTGTCACGACAAAACCAATGTTATGCGTTTGCGACCAGCATGGATCCAGACTAGCCTGCGCATCTGCGCAGTCTGATCAGGATCCATGCTATTCGCTATCAGTTTCTCTACTTGTAATAGGATTGGTAAGCGAACAGCATGGATTCTGATCAGACTGCACAGATGCGCAGGCTGGTCTGGATCCATGCTGGTCGCAAACCCACTATGTTGGTTTTGTCGTGACGCGGCTCATTTGATCTTCAGATAAATTAAAGAATTTGACAATTCATCTCATTGTCCATTTATTTTGCTTATTTTTATACACTTTATCAATTATATACATTGAGTAATGACCCTAAAAAAATGCTGCTACTCTGTCAAAGGATATACATACTGTAAATATCAGGCACTATTTATTGTGCCAGTTTGTTTTATACTGAAATGTTAAAGTGTAAGAATACCTCTGTAAGTATCTGTTGAAGGTGATTAAACGCCTCTGCTGGTTCCATCTTCAGTTCTAAAATCAATCTGTCGAGTTTATTGAGAACCAGTATAGGTTTGATGTTTTCTAGCCAGGCTTGACGTAACACAGCATGAGTCTGAAAATTGTTTCAATAATGGTCATATCACATTGTCTGATGAGATACTAAAATATTTCAGAGAGAAGTAAGTCACATTGTTTGCGAGTGTGAACAGAGTGAAATACAAAATTTTACATTCCCTTTCTATACTACTGATAGGCATAGCAAATTGGAACACATGTCTCAAATTTCTTATAATATCATAAGATATAAATTAGCACTAGTAGATTAGCTACTTTAACAATATTCAATAAAGAACTAAAATGTCTATTGGTTGAATGAACATTTTAACTATAGGTTGTTTTCATGATCACGAGACTTTACACTCATTGCTTAGTACTTGTTGGTTCCAGGAACAGATTCAAAAGTGTTTCTATAAGCTTATAGCTTCCAACACAATCAAACTAAAATATATTAGTATAAACTAAAGGCTGACTAAATAAATCTGCTTGTCAAACCAGTAATTAACCCTAAACTCTGATTAAAGTTACAACTGTAGCAAAAGATAAATTAATGTTTTATATACATGTAGTTTATAAATAAGCATGGAGATCTGTGTAAAAATTCTATTTTTTTTCTTCAAAAAAATACATAAATATAACTAAGGACAGATATAATGAGGGACATTAGTGGATTATCTTCCCTTGATAAAAACCGAGGTTAACCAAAATGTAAGTAGGTCCAAATATTTGGAATCCTTTGATTTTAAAGTCCGAGTAATCCAATAGCTTAGGACCTATCTATTTATAGGGAGTACTCAGGGGAGGTTATTCCCTAAAGTCTCTCATTGATTGACTGCAAAAAAACAAGGACTAATATTTTTTCTACAGAAAAACGATAACAGTTACCTGCGGACAGACACCTTCCACAACGTCAACAACAACAATTGCTCCATCACAAAGTCGTACTGCCGTAGATACTTCACTGGAGAAATCAACATGTCCTGGTGAGTCAATCAGGTTCATTAAGTACTCGTCACTCCCTAAATGTATAAATGTAACACATCTCAGTAAGTCTTTGTTTGTTTGTTTGATTTGGTTTTACATCACACCACCACAGTATAGGTCATATGGCGACATTCCAGCTTTTACTGGTGGAGGAAGACCTCAGGTGCCATTCTGTGCATTTTTCAGGCACGAACAGGCACCTGAGTAGAACCACCAACATTCCATAAGCAAGGCGTAGCTTGATGGCGTCCTCACATGAAAAAATCCAAAGACCTTGTCGGGATTCGAACCCACAGCAGTGAGGACAAGTTAATACTAAATGTCTTATTTATAGTATGACAGTAGACTACTTATTTCTTACTATTCATTTATAGAATAAAATTTTAGTTATTCAGCCAAAAGTATAGAGCCATGTCAGACTGCACGGACGTGCAAGCTCTATACTGGTGACAAGGGCTAACCACTTTTAGTTTCAGCAGGGTAAGGTAGAGTGGGGGGGTTAAAAACAAACTTACCTGCTTGATAATGGAGTGATATAGCACTGGACTTCATAGTTATCCCTCTTATCTGCTCATCTTCTCTGCTGTCCAGGTAACGCAACTTTAATATAAAACAAAATATGCAACATCTATACGTAACTTTTCATTTATTTAGTCTTTCTCGATATAAATTTGGTCCCTTTGTAACAGTCTCCAACAAAATCCAACCCTTAAGGATTGAAATATCTTTAACCTGGACAAAACCATTTATCAATTCGAGGGAAAATATCAAAATAGCCAACAGTGCAGACCATGATGAGAAGGCACAGCTGATCTTGGTCTGCACTGGTTGTATCATTTATATTCAGTTGCTGCCAAGCAGGCTATGGGTAAAATTAATTAATCTATGCAACATAATAATTCTTCTGAAGAAATCATAAGTAACATCTTTAAAGAAGCATGCCTTCAGATTTATGCTAATTTTCATAGGTTCACAATAAGCAAACTCCTTATAATCACTTAAAAACACCAGAGTGTTTATAGGAATGTTAAATGGTATAAGACGGAAAAAATCATCGAAGTAGTCAGTAGCATACCTTTCCAGCCATTCTTTGAGAAATAATACCATTGCTGGCAACCAAAGCATCAGCAAGAGTTGTCTTCCCTGTTCCAAAAATAAAAACATTTCAATACATATCAACAGCTGATTTCAGTGTTATACATCAATAGTTATAAAAAGAAAATAACCATGAGGCCCAAAAAACTAATTGTTCTGTTTCTTATCTCTGACCATCCCTAAGGGCGGTAGGTATTTCAAAATATTTGTAACTACTATATATACATGTATCTTTATTATAATTTCATTTATATATATTTATAGAAAAAAATTGTCAAAGAAAAAAAATGTCAAAATAGAGGTAATAGACCTGAAACAAAAAGATTGTTAAAAGCAAGTCAATTATAACTTAACAAGAAAAAATTTCATAATGAAAACAATCTAATTCAGTGACATAAATCATAAGTATTTAGTATTCATATCAAATCAAATAAATAATATACCATGATCAACATGAGCTAGGATACAGATGTTCCGCACATGTGATGGCTTCTTTTGCAATTCTTTTATCTTTTCAAGATCTGTAAGCCGCATATTTCTGAAATTAGGGGAAAAAAATCAGTTTAAAGAAACGATGATGATAGTATCATTTTTGCATGGTAAATAAAATCTGTATTGTTGGATTAGAAAAATTTTCAGGTTCCCCTCTGTGCATTATTTCAGGCATGTGCGGTCAACCAAGTGGGGTAGAAGAACCATGTTGTTCTTTAACATTTACTGTGCTTAGCTAAATCTTTAATGAATGTGCCAGATGACCTTGGTCTGCAATAAACCAACATAAACTATGACAAGCCCATAATGTCTGATATATTCGACTAAGGTCTGCAATTGTGACATAGGTACATGTAGAAGCTGTTGCCCCCTTATCAAGGTCAGCTCGGCCATAAAACCAACTCTGTCTGGTGCCCTATTCAAACTTGAAACAGGCCAACTCGGCCCATATCTTTATTACTCATTTACTAGTAAAATTATATTAATTAATAAGATTATTTTTATTCTATTTTTATCAATCATTTACAAGATATATAATGTTCATCTCCTATTTTAATAAATTAGACGAGATTCACAAATTTTTTTGATTAATTTATATGCATGTGTATATGTAATTGAATAATTAATGATTTGTTGGTACCTAACTTACATTGTATATTAGTGTCCCAGTGATTATTCTGCTTATAATATAACAGACTCCGAAAAAGGGCCTCTTCCCAATTGAAATTTTCTTTAAAATCATGCAGTTTTCCCAAAAATCTTAACTTAAACCTGCTTTTTTACTTCCCAAATTTGCAATTTTAGCGATAATTGTTCCCAAAATCAAGAGGCTAAGGCCTCTTCCCAATTAAATGAGAAAAATCACTGTGTCCACAAGATATCTTTATATACATATATAGGCCGATTATGTAAAATATTTGATGATATCTTTATATACATATATAGGCCGATTATGTAAAATATTTGATTATGTGACTAGCGCCTGTGTTAGTGTCTTACCTTTTTTGTACAAAATATTTTTAAACATTGCTTGTGTAAACTAAACAGGTATTTTCCATATCTCAATACAATAAATACATTAATTTTAACAAAAAAATCAGACATAAACAGATCAAAGAAAGAATATATATGTTGACAGCTTTTTATTCGTGTTTAGGTAGTGCTGACTTTCCCTGTCCGAAATAAGCGCATCCGAAACCTATGTAAAACAATCAATCAAACAAACACCCACATCTGTGTGAAACCTTACCTATTAACTGTAAGCCGGCTGGAAAGAAATAACGATTACTTTCTTCAAATTTATACAAAATATCCTAGATTTATTATTACATTTAAATACTGAATTATTGCGCAACTTAGAACATATGTGTGGTCTCCATTGTTAGGTTGAATGCTACTAATTATTTTCCCGCTACGTAGTAACGGATCAGCTCATACCTCGATAAAAATCAAAGCAAACACATAAGTAAACAACAAAAAAGAATGTATACTGAGTATATAATAATCAAAGCAAACACATAAGTAAACAACAAAAAATAATGTATACTGAGTATATAATAATAGATTCTGATAATAATAATAATAGTAATAATAATAAATCAATAATAATAATAAGAGGAAAAAGAACAGTGAAATTCAGATTGATAGGGAGATACGTTGTTAATTCAAGGAATTATCTCGTTCGCAAGGCTTAGTAACTCGTGCGCACCACTTAATTATCTGGTGCACCACTTAGTATCTCGTGACCGTGCACTAGCCAGTATCTCGTTGACATTAGATAAATAAAAACGAACAAATGTCACCTCTATGCCACCGTAGTTATTTCTATAAATTTCTTTTTGCACTTTCATGTTTGCATGAAACTCTTGATGTTGACATTGAATTTGTAGTTGTTTTATAACATGTATTATTTACCAGAATAACACTATCTATCTATCTATTTACAGAAGGTTAACACAAATCAAATATTTTAACCCATTACCCGATATTCACGACTTTTTACGCTTTTTTTCACCCCCACCCCTTTCTGTTGTCTCGAATAGTGAAAAAATGTCTTATTTAGGCCCCAACACTTGTTTTTGTTTGAGAAATGTCGTTTAAAAAAGTGACCACTTTTTCGGCGCGGCCACTTATCTAAAAGATACACCAGGGAGTTGCCAGAAGGGGGATGTTCCCCTTTCTGTTTGGGGGGTTTGAAGGGGGCGACAGTCCCCATCATCGCAAGAAAATTTTAGACTTGTGAGAGGCTAAAAATGAGCCCAGATCGATCATAAGGTAACGTGTAACCGACGCTGAAAAGCCTTTGACTCTATCTCAATCTATTGAGAAGTTGCAACACTTTGAAATCAATTTTGATTGAAAAAAATCAACGCAAAATAGTGATTTTTGGCAATTTTGAGATGTCCCCTCGTTGCCATGGTAACATGAAATTTAAGACTGAGCATGTTGTTAGAAAGGCAATGGTCCAGTCAAGATTTGTGCTAAGTGTTAACTTAAGTTTAACTTAAGTTGGTATTGAAGCAGTTTTCATAGTTTTATAGCAATTTGAACTTGTAACGGGAGACTTTTCAATGAAAACAGCCATTTTTCACAAACTGCTCATGCAGTAATGGGTTAAATGTTCAGACGTAAGAAAACTCCCATACATATATTATTCCTGTTAATATTTGGCTTTGAACATTCATATATACTCCTATTATGTTTGGCAAAACCTACTTAACTCCCTTTACCTGTTAATTAACTCCCTTACCTGTTTAATTCCCCTCACCAGTGAACTTATGTAATCTGTGATAATCACACCATAGTGTAAACTGTTGAAGCAGTTGATAATAATGATCAGTGTAATCTTAGTGTGCTATGTTTACCATATTTAAACTAAAAATATTGTGTAAAATATGGAAACGCAATTTTATTTCAATTTGTATTAGTTGAACATCTGAATTAAATGTATAACGTAGACGCGCTATAATACTAACTAATACTAATACTAATAATACTAATGACAATAACAATAATAATAATAATAATAACAATAATAATAATAATAATAATAATGATGATAATAATATTGATGATAATAATAATAATAATATAATAATAATAATAATAATAATGATAATTATGATAATGATAAAACTAATGATAATAATAATAATAATAATAATAATAATGAAATGATAATAATGATAATGATAATAATGATAATAATAATAATAATGATGATGATGATGATGATGATGATGATGATGATGATGATGATGATGATGATGATGATGATAATCAAATAATAATAATAATAACACTTTATTCACAGAAGGTAACACATTAAGACATATATACATATACAGATTAGAACACCTTATTTACAATGCGCCTTCTAAATGATAAAAAAATCGTATTTTTTTCACTATTTTCTCGACTTCGAGCCTTTTATTGTCAATTGTGAGTTGCAATTTCTGTACATCCGGTTTTGTAATAAAACAACACTTTATTTTTCATTGCCACAATAAAATTGCGTTTGTTGCAAAATAGGATGTAACAAAATTGTATCAAGTTTTGAAATAAACTTATAGCAAATATTCGTTTAATTGCAAAATTGGTAATAATGGGCAATACTATCCACATACGCACGCACCCCCATATTCTCTTCCCGAGAGTCTCTCATATGGATTTCTGTTTTCGACTGTAAACCTGTCAACAAAGCATTGTGCATTTACATCGCTCTACCTGTTATAAAATGAGATGGTGTTTGTAGTTTTCACTCCGGTTCAGGACAGTTGAACTAACCAGAGCACAGTTCAGTCACCGAATCGTTACTGAACAGGCCGCCAAGCAATGTACCAGATTTATAGTTGCTGGATTTGGTTACTTCTGTACATTTCCGTGCAGAGGTACAGTACGAATTACAGTAGAAAGGATTCCATGATCAATCACAAAGAAAGTGAACCGAACACGGATTGCCTGATTCATAGTCCTCTACCTAATGAGCTAACTGGCAGCTATTATAAAATTAGATATACATGTGTCAACTTAATTCACTTTTATATTGTCCCTTTAGGGGTTTATAAATTATTAGTGCTGATGGACAGTTATTATGGTAAATATGATAAAAACAAAGTACATGAAGATAACGCAATTAGGTCAATTTAATATCAACTTTAAACTAGTATGATAAACTCAAACAAATGCTAAAATAAATAATAAATTTTAAATATTTCGTCCATACATCTGTTTGCAGTGTCAACATTTGAAACATGTACTCGGATTTTAGATAGTTCATTTAGAATAAAAAGTAATTATTATGTAAATACTGTGGATTTTTTTCTCTCTGAAATTTGAAAATTCTTAATCCTTATTCTGCTGAATTTGTGTAATGGATTTTACCCCACTTTATATAGATTCTTGTAATGGATTTTGCTCTACTTGGAATCTTGTAATGGATTTTGCTCCACTTAATCTTGTAATGGAGTTTGGCTCACTTAGAATCTTGTAATGGATTTTGCTCCATACAGAATCTTGTAATGGATTTAACTCCACCTAGATTCTTGTAATGGTTTTTGCTCCACTTAAAATCTTGTAATGGAGTTTGCCTCACTTAGAATCTTGTAATGAATGTTGCTCTACTTAGAATATTGTAATGGATTTTGCTCCACTTAGAATCTTGTAATGGATTTTACTCCACTAAGAATCTTGTAATGGATTAAACTTCACTTAGATTCTTGTTATGGATTTTGCCCCACTTAAAATCTTGTAATGGATTTTGCTACATTTAGCATCTTGTAATGGATTTTGCTCCACTTAGAATCATGTAATGGATTTTACTCCACTTAGATTCTTGTAATGGATTTTGCTCCACTTTAAATCTTGTAATGAGTTTTTCTTAACTTAGAATCTTGTAATGGATTTTGCTCCACTTAGAATCTTGTAATGAATTTTGCTCCACTTAGAATCATGTAATGGATTTGGCTCCACTTAGAAACTTGTAATGAATTTTGCCCCACTTAGAATCTTGTAATGGATATTGCTCCACTTAGAATCTTGAAATGAATTTTGCTCCACTTAGAATCTTGTAATGGATTTTACTCCACTAAGAAACTTGTAATGGATTTAACTCCACTTAGATTCTTGTAATGGATTTTGCTCCACTTAGAATCTTGTAAAGTATTTTGCTCCACTTTAAATCTTGTAATGAATTTTTCTTAACTTAGAATCTTGTAATGGATTTGTCTTAACTTAAATCTTGTAATGGATTTTACTCCACTTAGAATCTTGTAAAGAATTTTGCTCCACTTTAAATCTTGTAATGGATTTTTCTTAGCTTAGAATCTTGTAATGGATTTTGCTGCACTTAGATTCTTGTAATGGATTTTTCTTAACTTAAATTTTGTAATGGATTTTGCCCCACTTAAAATCTTGTAATGGATTTTACCCCACTTAGAATCTTGTAATGGATTTTGCTCCACTTAAAATCTTGTAATGGATTTTACCCCACTTAGAATCTTGTAATTGATTTTGCTGCACTTAGATTCTTGTAATGGATTTTGCTCCACTAACAATATCGTAATGGATTATTCTCCACTTATAATCTTGTTATGGATTTTGCTCCACTTACAATCTTGTAATGGATTTTTCTTAACTTAGGATCTGGAGCAGTCCATGGATTTCAATATAAAAAATACCAAAATGAGCTACCAACAGTATATAGAGCCTTGTCAGACTGCACGAATGTGCTTCGCAGGCTGTCCTAGCTCTATGCTTGTGACAAAGGTCAATTATTTTTTTTATTTCCAGCAGGGTAAGGATAGAAAAAAACGAGAATTACATTTAGTTACTATGGATACCCGACGTCGTGGTCCCCATCCCCCGGCACCTATCATCACAGTAGAATCTGGATATGAATCAGAATCTAAACGTGAAAGGTAAGAAAATAAAATGTTTAAAATATTAGGGTAGACTAAACTTAGATTTGACTTTTTTGCAACAGGATACAATCAGAGGAACACTCCTATGACTAAATTAATACTGTTGCATTATGTGATGTCATCAAACGGAAATGATACTATTTAATTTTGTGTTTTGAATTTACTTAACTTTTGCATGTAATGTTCCTCAATGAGCCAGATTTAGGATGTACAAATGCAATTTTAATGTTTGAAGCCAGTATTTCCTCATATGCCACCGCTACTGGTTAGTTCCAGAAAGCATACTGGAACGTGGTTCCAAAATTGATTGTTGTAAGCATAATTAAACTTATTGCAAGTATACATGTATACTTGACTGATGTCCCTTGGAACTGAGGGATTCCCTTTAATGAATTGCAGCCACCGTTTATCGACCCCTGCGTGATCGTTAGAGGTGACTAAATGGGTCTGAATACCCTTTTAGCTCCAGCAGGTGAGGTGGGTTTGATACCTGGTGTTGCTTTGAAGTTTGTAACTTCCGAGGTTAGCCAAAATCATCTTTCTCTTTTCGGCACCATATGACCTGTGTTGGTGCGACGTAAAGCCAAAACTTATAAACATGACTGTATGTATTTTGACCTTCTTTTGTTCACACTGTCTCTTTCAACATACGTTTTGAGCACAATACATTAAAACCTCTACAGATCGGTTATTTTGTATAGCACAATACATTGAAACCTCAACAGAACGTCCCTCTGTATAACACTGTTACTTCTACAGGTACAGGAAGGTCCTCTGTACAACATATACGTTGAAACATATACAGAACAGCTCCCTATATAACACCATACATCGAAACTTCTACATAAAAGCACTCTATATAAAACCATACATAGAAATTTACCCCAACAGAACGGCCTTTTGTAAAGTAGAACAATATCTTCTCCACAAGATAACATCAGTGTTATTTCTTCCCAAAGACTTCACAAAATGATTTCCCAGCAAAAAACAAAAGCTTTGTCTGTCAAGACTGTAAGTACTGCATATTATATCCACGCATGTGGCAGTTAAATATGTGTGAAATGGAACTCTTATAATGTAAATGATAAATATTTATGCCCCCACAGAGTGGGAGCATATAGCGTTGCACTTGTCCGTCCGTCTGTCTGTCCGTCCGTCCGTCCGTCTGTCCGTACGTCCCGAAATCTTGTGAACGCAACTCCTCTTAAACCGGATGGCAGATTTTGCTTAAACTTCCAGGGATGAACAACCTTAATGTGTAGATGGTAGTAAAGGAAGGAATTTTTGCTGCGACCAAATTTAACAGAATTATGGCCCTTTGTTGATTTTTTCACTATATACCATGTAAAAATTTTGTGAACGCAATTCCTCTTAAACCGGATGGCAGATTTTGCTTAAACTTCCAGGGATGAACAACCTTAATGTGTAGATGGCAGTAAAGGAAGGAATTTTTGCTGCAACCAAATTTAACAGAATTATGGCCCTTTGTTGTTTTTTTCACTATATACCATATAGAAATTTGGTAACGCAACTCCTCTTAAACCGGATGGCAAATTTTGCTTAAACTTCCAGGGATGAACAACCCTAATGTGTAGATGGTAGTAGAGGAAGGAATTTTTGCTGTGACCAAATTTAACAGAATTATGGCCCTTTGTTGATTTTTTCACTATATACCATATAGAAATTTTGTGAACGCAACTCCTCTTAAACCGGATGGCAGATTTTGCTTAAACTTCCAGGGATGAACAACCCTAATGTGTAGATGATAGTAAAGGAAGGAATTTTTTGCTGTGACCAAATTTTACAGAATTATGGCCCTTTGTTGATTTTTTCACTATATATACCATATAGAAATTTTGTGAACGCAACTCCTCTTAAACCAGATGGCAGATTTTGCTTAAACTTCCAGGGATGAACAACCTTAATGTGTGGATGGTAGTAAAGGAAGGAATTTTTGCTGCGACCAAATTTAACAGAATTATGGCCCTTTGTTGATTTTTTTCACTATATACCATATATATGTTGTCAGTGGGGGCATCCGTGTCCTTTGGACACAGTTCTAGTTTTTTTCAGTTATGGTAATGGTTTTTCTTTCAGGAAGGGAACGAGCCGCTTTCATTGGGATATTTGGTTGTTCTTGGCACTTGACAACTGGATTTTTGACTTTGGAAGGCCTATTGCAGCGGTAAGATTTTTAATAAATGATCTTAATTTGCAGAATTTTAACAAACCTGTATAATTCGTAAAAAATCAGAGAAGTCATTTCAGAACTTTGCCTCAACCTAGTGGTCATAAGTTCAAACTCTACTGGGGATCACAAACATGTCAAATGGCGTAGAGATGTTCACAGGTTAATGGTGCCTGTAATCTGCACGAGTTCCAGATCTACTGGGGCCACAACCATGTTCCATCATTGAAACAGCATGCTTCTCTGTTAATCACAACTGAGCTGAAATAATATTGAAATTTTAGAATAAATAATCAAATATTGTGTTTAGTTTACTGCAAATTACCAATAAAGTGTTTGCAGTAAGCTAAGTTTCTACAACTTGAGTCAAACTACAAACTTGTACATTTGTCAAACAACTTTACTTTAACAGTTTTACAGTAACATGTTTATGTGCGTTGAATTTCTTTGAGCTGTTCATGTTCATTTTGTATTCTTTGTTTGGGCTTCAATTTGAGGGTAAACATTGGCATTTTTTCATGTTTCAGTTGTTTGTTCCCCTTGAGTGGTCTCCCTTGAACAAGCCAAGTATTGGGGACTATTTTCATATGGCCTACAATGTCATTACTCCGTTCTGCATTCTCAAGGTAAGTGATTAATCTCTTGTTGTTTTTGCCTTTACTCAATTTGACTAATTTAAGGAAGCCCCTTTTCTTAATAGAACAAACGTACACGTTTGATTGGTAATGACTAAAGAGTAATTGCTTAAAAGCAGAAATACAATTGTATTTGAAAGCAAATTTCAACGATAGCATACTACCACCCGATCCCAAAGCGCGGCCCTTACCATCGATTTGATAATTTATTACTACAGTATACTGATTTTTAAAAAATGCAAATGCTGTAAAGAATTACATTTCGATAATTTCGCAAATTGAAAATGCTCGCGAAAATAAACGTCCGTTGAGTAAATACAGGAATATTGGACCTCGCTAAAAAGTTTTGATTTTTTAAAAAAATAGCCATACAAGTATAACATACAACAAAGTAAAGGTAAAAATTATAATATGTGCAATTCTTTGTTTTGTTTACAGCTGTTAGACAGATGCCCTCGTAAACCATCATCCACGTTGGTATACTTGTGTATTATAACATTTGTGATGGGAGCCAGCATACATTTGGTTGGTGACAGTATAGATCACCGTCTAGTACATCTTGGGTACCAGCTACATCTCTCCGTCAGAGATAACCCTATGATGCAGAACTTAGACCCGCCAGGACTGGTATGGCCTTTTTTCATATATCTAAACATAATTATTCCGAATGCCTTATAATATGGTTTATGAACATACCGTCACCTTAGTGCAATAACTGGTTAATTCCTATTAAATTGATAAGGACTTAACCCTTTACTGCACTAAGGCGACGATACATGTATTATATTATTCAACAGAAAAATACAGACCTTGTATCTTTACTGATTTTTATGTTTTTTCACTGCAGTGATTATAATTCCAGTCATAATGCTGGGTAATATAGCAGAGTGGAAACTTCATGTATTTACATCCATCTATATCTCACCACTTCGCCCACGCTGCCTGTCCTCCCGCCAAAGAGTCTTTTGATTGTGTAAGTATAAGCCCCATCCCTCCGCCCACAAGTCTTTTGATTGTGTACCTATATTTCAGGTCGACTCCTTTGAATTGCTATACTCATATGATGAAGAAATTGGACATCTTATGTGGTAAGTTGCTGGTTAAATTTAATCAAAATCTGGCGGATGATCAATATTCGAGATTATTCAATTAATGCTTAATCCTAGAACAATTGATAATGTTCAAGTTCAATCCCTGATGTTTATCAGTACTGATGTCCGCCCGCATAGCTCAATAGGGAGATCATCGGATTTGTTAGCCAAGGGTCGCAGGCTCAGTTCTCAGGCGAAGCAACATTCTCCCCTGACATCTTGGAAAATGAGTGCTGGTTATTTGTCTCCTAAAGTCATGTGGTATTAGCTGTTAGCAATCCAGGAAAACTGGTTAAGTGGACAGACCTAAAATGTCTTAAAATAAGCTGAAAACCAAATCAACCAAACAAAACTGATGCCGCAACTCGAGTACGTCTGAAACTCATGATCCCTGATTTGAGAGGAAGATACCTTATTGCATTCTTGCTTTTTTTACTCAGAACACTGAAAGTTAAGATGTACATGTATTTTTAATGATTTGTAGACGCCACCTTGTGAGATGTACATCTTTCCAGGAGTCACGTACATGTATTATTGTCAAATAAATAATTTGATTTTGCTTAAAACCACATACAGTGTATATACATGTATGGTTTTATGCTTATAAAGAATTTGTATTGATTTAACTTCTTGATTTACAGTATGACATGTTTGTCCGTGCGTTTTTTTGATTGGGTGTATGAGTGTACGCATATTTTTAAGAAATCGTTGCAGCTTTACTAAATGATGAAACTGACCTATAATTGCCTAAGGGCCAGCCTAAACATAGTAAACATTGCATTGTCATCTGTCTGTTAAGTCATGCAGTCTTGCAATCTTGATCCCAATTTTTTTTTAATATCAAAAAGTGCCTTGAATTATCAATCGCCGATGACATGATACTAAAATCTAATGTATTCTTAAAAATGGCCTTCCACAGCTCAAAGTATGATGTATGAGTAAATGCCTTTACCTGAATATTCTCTGAATTGTATTATATATAAATGTACATATAATGTACATATAAATTATGATGTTTCAGGTACATACCATTCTTTGCAAGCTTGGTACTGTATTTTCTTGGGTGTTTCCAGCCTCGACATCAAATCGAGGCTACAAAATCTGGCGTGTCATGGTGGTTACTTATGGTGTTTAGCGCAATTTATTACTGGTAAGGTCAACTTGAAAGTTTGATTAAAATCCCCTGTACTAGCTTATAGTAATAGTAATTTGCCATTATTATTATAGAATTCACTTACAGCCAGATCAGTGTTAACTTGTATAAAATCTGACCAGTACGAAATAATTGCAATACTTTACAAACACATGACAGAAACTTCATGATTTCACGATTTCAACTTCATGAATTCGCGATTTTAACTTCATGAATCTACGGATTTAACTCCATGTATTCGCGATTTAAGATTAAATTCATGAATTAACGAGAATAAGTTTATGAATTCACGATTTCAGCCGCTTGAAATCACGATTTCAACGTCACGAATTCGTAATTTCTACTTCTTGAATTTATGTTTTGTACTTCTCGATTTTAGCTTCATGAACTAGCTTCACGAATTCACTATAATTTCAATAAGAACATGAATTCAAGATTTCTATTTCTCAATTCGTGACGTTGAAACCGTGAATTCATGAAATGGAAAACTTGAATGAATTCATGTACATGTAGTTACATTTTGAAAGCATGACTTTGTGAAATTAAAATTATAAATTTGTGAAGTTGTAATAATTAATTCATGAATTTTTAGTGTCCTTATCAGCCTTATCTATATACCGAATGCCTCTGCGATTTCAACGTCATGCATGGATACGCGACCTTAACGTTGCGATTTCATGTTTTAACCTTGAATTGAAGCTTGGCAGGGTATTTAGGCTTTCAGAATACATCTTGTTTCAGGAACATTACTGATAACGATTGTTAAGTTCTTATCTATTTATCTCCTTTTCTTTATTTTTTTCTTTTTAATATATTACTTTTACATACATTTTTAGGTATTTGGTTACAGAAGGACAGATATTTCTGGTGTACTTCATCACCTGTGTTGTCATGATTGCTATCGTTCTGGTGAAAAAATCTAGGAGCCTCGTTTTGGATATAAACGGAAGATTTTTACTCTATACGTTCTCTTTTACCATGATTTTGACAAGTATATGGGTGGCACTATTGTGGAACGATCCAGTTTTAAGAACAAAATATCCAGGAACGATTTATGTACCAGAACCCTGGGCTTATTACACACTCTATTTAAAATAAGGAAGAATGTGTCAAACTTTATTATATTATGTAAAAATGTGTAGTGAATATGTCATATGTATATGTGCTGTTATTAATTTAGTATAAATCTTATTTGTGTCTTCCTTTAAATTTAGAATGCCCCATTATTTATATGACTGAAAGGTAACGTCAAAAGGCTAGATTGAGCAAGGAACATTATAGAACCAGATTTAACACTGTATGAATTTGAAATACAAATTGTAACTTTATAATTGTGCTATTTTCGATTTTGCTTTGCTGGGGGCGAATCTCAGTGATGGTGATCAAAAGATCTTTACGTGAAGTAGAATGGTTCAAATCTATATGAAGGCCAAGTCCTAATGGGGTTTGACTGGGCGACACACACCCTCATCCCCCATTAGCAACATTTTTGCTCGTAATCAGGAAAGTTTGAGGTGCGTTTACTACAAAATAATAAATATGTATTAAGAGGACTGTTAGAAATTGCTGGTAGAAAAGTAAATGAATTTCATGTTCATTTCCTTAAAAAAGTTGAAATTCTGCGATTACGGTTACTGTTTTATTTGTCACTGTCTCTACTTTGGTCGGTTTTTAGACTTCTGCAAAGTTCTTACTACCAGAACTGGCAATCACATGCTTTTTCAGGTAATGCAACTGGATGATTCTAGCCGCCACAAAACGTCGCATGATTTTGAGCCGTTTTACAAGAGTTACATACATTCATACTGTTTTGAACCCAACGTGAGAATACATGTCTCTGCTATCATAATAGGTATAAATGATTAAAAACTACGAGAACATTTCCGTTCTAAATTAACCTCTTCAGTGGTCACATATGTCTGTACATAGTCTGGTCTGTACTTTTATGTTTAATGAGGTTCCATTCGTTCGTTAAGGCACAAAAAAGTAGCTTTCGCTACCGAAACCCCGGACATGTCACCAGTCTTACTTTAGCAGCATAAAGTGGTGATAATTTACTCCACAGAATATTAACCAAAGATATGAATCTTGAGTCGAAAGAAGGCCACTGTATAGTAGTTAATGAGCACCTAAACGTACAGTTATCTGTGATAATAATGAAGGAGGTAGTCGTGATAAGGACTGTTGCGGTTGAGCTAGGGTACGATTTTTAAGCCGTCACTGTATACTATGGACTAAGCCTAGAACCCTTTCTCGTCGTCTATGCTCTCTGGAACATATATAAACCAATCTCTCTATTACTCTCATCTAATTGGCTGATTTTGAGTGAGTATTCGCATTTGACCAATGGCTGAGTTCTATCTTTAGCTGTTGCTATTTTTTCATCTACATTGGCAAACCCAGCAATAAATCACGGACTGACCGAAAACTTCCGCATTCGCGTGTTACAATCTTGCTCTCGTATCAAAAGTCGATTTTATTACGACATCAATATAGAAACTAATATTTACCAGTCTATTCATTCAAAATAATACACGATAAAGGTCCAGATAAAGAAATGAATGTAAGAAATTACAATCCCTTCTTTTTAAATTGGGCGTTATCGTGTCCGTTATCTTTCTCGCATTCAGTACATATCAATGTTATCTGTAAAACGCCTCCCAAATATTAAATACGTAGCCTACAAATGACTGAATGTTTCTGAATAATACTTAAGATTAGTGAATTTTACAATTGGCAATGTTTTGTTTAAAGTCAAAGCCAGATTTCGTGATTTTCGTCAAAGCAAGGTGTGTATCGAAACGCACGATCTAGACTGTAAGGAAATAGAAGAAATGAAGACGTCCCGTAGAGCATGTGGTGTTGTTATCGTCTTGCTTACACTTACGGTATGGTTGTTTTTTGATAATTTTTATGATTTGATTATGTTTTGTTGTTGTCTTCGCCGGAATGTTGATAACGTAAACGTTTTCAATAGTTTTATAAAGATAAAAATACAAGAAGAGCACGTTTAAGTTGTTGGTCATTGACTTTGACATTGTTTATCATTAGACTGGTGCACATTCAAATGGATCGTGGACATTGTTCTACTTTAAGTACATTGTAATCACCTTGTAAGTCACTGGCATCCGGTTCTGTAACTTTTAAAATGCGAAAAGGATGATAAACGAACTGTTTACATATTCTACAGAATATCACGCTAATGTGATACTGGTACATGTACTCTAAAACAATTTCTTTGACAAAGAAGCTTATGAATGAAAATAATACAAATGTAATGTACATGTATATAATGGATTTGAAATTTTTTATGAACTCACGGGAGAAATGAAAAGAAAAATAATTCTGAAACTTTAATTTTCGTGAAAAAAGAGAGCAAATGCCTTGTATTCGTATATTCTTTTGATCTTTGATAAATATTGTTAATCATTTTGTGCACGCGTTCTAAGAGTGCCACTTGAACTACTCTAGATAGAAGCGAAATCTCCTTTTGTACACTAGTCCTTTTAGAAATAGATTACGTTGATGTAGGTTAAATAAAACAAAATATGTCATGGCCGGCGAATACATAAAAGTCTCATTTTCATCAAACTCTTATTGTGAACGAATGATCTTGCAAACTGTGAAAATTCTATTTAAAAATGACACCATCTTTATAAAATTTCTCAGAATATTGTGTTCATTTCAAACGATTTTCCGCTATATTTGTACACTTATAATGTAATACGTATGGTTTTGAAAGCAAGTTCTGTGCTGCACATGGAATTTATTAATACTTTTCATTTATTTGTAAACACGTATTTATTTTTCCCCTCATACTTTTATTTTCTACAATTTTGTCCAATCGAAGACCTTGAATTATCTATCGGAACTTCAACCGTAAATTAACTTAATGTCGGAAAATCACATAGCTACGAGCGTACATTCGATTAACTTTTGAACATTTTTGTATTTACTGTCGACTTGAGGGAGAGGGACAGATATAATTATTTCTTTAACCTTTTGTTACGCCTTTTTGATTAAACACTTTAAATATGTATATGTACAATATACATGTGTATATAAAATCGTGAGAAAACTTAATTGTAAACTGTATGTCTGTTTATACAATAAATTACAATAAAATCTTAAATATCATATATGCCATTTTTTAAATAGATTTTAAAGGTGGAATTACAAATGTATTCGGGATAAGAGATCAAATTTGCTTACTTCATAACTGGTTGTTAATTGAACTTCGTTACTGATTGTCAAGTAAAACAAAACAACAGACTTTCGGTGAAAATGTGGGGCCAATACACGATCAAATCTCTGTCCCATGAAACCTTTGGAACATCATCCATGTTAAAGATTTTGGATACGTTTAATATGGCCTTAATTAGTAAAAAAAGGAATATAATGTCAGAATTGTATCGTGAGTAATTTGCATTATTTTCCTACAGATAAGAGTGTCTGCTACAACTAATGGAACCTCATCTAGCACAAATACAACAACAACAACACATTTAATAGGAACACCAGGCTCAGGGATTGCAGCTGGAAATACAAGAAAGTCAACGACTTTACCTCCAAAAACAACAACAGCTTTATCATCATCACCACCACCAACAACAACATCGGCTGCAACAACAATTACACCTATCTCTACAACACCAAAATCACCACCGACAAAAATAAGTGAATCAATAACAAAAACAAAAACAACATCACCTCAACCACCAGCAACACAAACATCGCAACTAACAACAAAATCATCATTATCACCCCCACCACCACCACCACCATCATCATCACCACCAACAACAAAAACAACATCACCTCAACCGACAGCAACACAAACATCATCCACAACAAAACAAACATCGCAACCAACAACAAAATCATCATCACCACCACCACCATCATCACCACCATCATCATCATCAACAACAACAACAACATCCTCATCATCACTATCAACTACTGTGAAACAAAACGGAAGTACAACATTACCAGCCGGAAATACAAAATCGTCAAGCGTTCAAAAAACAAATGCATCAGTCACTAGCAAAATTGTAACAACAAAACAGCTACAAAACAAAACTACAGCTGTAGCAAACACGATGCCATCTACATCACACGTGACATCAACATCTGTTAAATCAGTAGAGGCAAGAAAATCTACAACAGGTCTTAAAACGACAGGAAAACCTTCAACAGTAACTAATTCAAAGACGGATTTAAATCCACCAACTTCTGTAACCGCCTTAAATCAATCAATGTTTTCCACTAACAAAGCTACGTCTTCGGGTAATCTGGATCAAACTACCGATGGTTCTAAACCGGCTTCTAAAGGAACGACTACAACTTCTAAAAATGAGCCTGGCACCGCAGAAAAGTCAACAAGCTTCGATCGGGACTTAGCGATTATTTTTGGCTCGGCTTGTGGCCTTATGTTGATTGTCATAATCGCTCTGTGTATATCAAGAAAAAGACATATCGAGAAACAAGAACAGTTTATGATGGGTGGACATGATATAGAAATTACGTCATCAAAGTTTTGAAACTGTTAAAGTGTCTTCATCTGTGTGCATTTGAAAACTTTCTGTCATTTCTTGATGTTATTGTTTTAAATGATATCAAACATAAGAAATGTTTATTAAGACGATTTTGGATTTCTTCGCAAAATTTTGAAAATGTTTTATGTTATTGTGAAGAAATTGCTGTTAAGATTTTGTCGTCTGCTACACAGTTGTATTGATCAGCGGGTGAAACAATCACCAAAAATTACTTCTATTGCAACACAGAGGCATTATTTAATATCAACAACTCGCTTCTGGATTAAATATGTATAACGAAATAATAAGAAATTGACAAAGCCAGAAACATTATGTACATATACATGTTTTTCTATGTCATTGTTAACGGTTTGTTCATGTATAAGTTTGCTTTGCTTTTTTCTGCATTTTAATTGTTTTCTTTACATCTGAATTTTGCTTCATAAAAATATATGGAAGAACCCTAATAATTATTCTTCTCCAAATGAAAATCAGCCTCAATGTCATTAGTTTCTGACCGATGTCCGATCAAATTGGCCTATTTAAAGAAAAGGGACATAACTCACTTAATACTAAGTTTCGTTATAGCTTTTGATACACTCCCTTTAGTTGTGTTAAATATTTTTATGTGTTTTTCATGTAATGACAGCGTTCCTTTATTTAAGTTTGTTTTAGTTTTAAATGAGTTTGTTTACATGTGATCTGTCGTTATAAAAAAGAAGAAAATACTTTTAAAAAATGTGAATAAATTCATGTCGTTTTTGTTTTGTTTTATGTGTCGTTTAATAAGCCAAAAACATACGACTTGGTTTAGAAATGGACAAATAAGTGTAAAAACCAACAGTAATCATAGACTTTCGTAAATGTAATTCAGTTCTTATCGAGATCCGTCGAAAGCAATGAAAAAAAAAACTAAAGGAAAATTGCAGACTCGTTTTTTTTTGAGTCTGTTTTAGATAAAGTTTAATTTGCAAAATTGCTCATTGCGCAATCGCCTATGCAACCGGTTACTGGTATTAGTCAAGCACTTTTCAGAAGTTCTATGTCACTATTCATTGAGCAATATACAAAGAAACTTTAAAAGACGAAAATGCCGTGGTATGTCAGGTTACGTACCATGTCATGTTGCTTGAATGGGCTATGGACCCTCATTGTAATAGAATTAAAAGCGTTGGAGTCAATAGTAAAATATATCAACATTGAGATGAAGTACGTGGAAAATTTTTACTAGCTTGCCACAGTGTATTTGTCACCCGTTTTTGCGAGTTTGTATATAAAATATGGAAAAACTAATAGTTAAATATCGCAGATTCGGTTTTATTAATGTTTTTGATGAAAATGATAGACACTTACATAGTAAAAGAGACTAATTTTTGTATTATATATAAACCAGGCTCACAAAATGACACAAACTTTTCGCATGAAAAGCCTCTTTCCCATTTGGTTAAATAACGTATATGCTCATATCTTATGTTTTTGAATAACATGTTTTTTTATATATGTGCATCCAATAACAATATATAAGACAAAAAGGATCTAGCGTTGTTCAACTTGTGAATGTTGCTTATTGCTGTCTTGAATCCGTATGGAAACCGTATTTGATTTTTTTCGGGAAGATTCAAATGTTTAAAAAAGTTTCACAATTCACATTGATTAACAATAGGAGTAATCATATTTCGAGGAATGCCGGAAAGGGACGAAAAATGCCGGATGGAATTAACTTCAGTTAAAAGCAGAAGTAGATGTATGTTTGCATGAAACAATGGAGTCTATTGTAATTGTATAAATATTTATTTAAAAGATGACATTATATATTTTTTGTCATATACAATAACAATAATAATTTGTACAAAAAGATAGTAATCCATAATCGTACATTATATCACATGCAAAAAAAACCTTTCCTAATTTGGCTGTAAAAAGGATGGTATTTATCAAAATAATAACATAATATGACAGATTAGAAAAGTAATGTAGTAGCATAAATAATAGAAAATCCCCAGTAGAGCAGATATCATTACATTTACGAAATTTATCTGATATTTGATGCGGTAAATACCTCTCATTAGAGGGAGCAGTTATTATAAACATTCCTTATAAATGGGAGTTAGCATAAATAGCAAAATATCACATAATGATACAGTATTACAGGCACACCTGTTATGAAGACACCGTGTAACCGAAAAGTAGGAGCAATTAAAGGAATACCGGTGTCGCGTGATAATAATACGATCGTGACAATACCGTGATTTGTTTCCTTCTTGTTCACTAAACCCAGTGATAACCAATTGATAGTTTCCTTTTCTGCCCTTTCATTTGAATAACAATAGATTTAACTACAAACATTGACATGTGCTCTTTTGTTAACAAATATGTTGTGGTGAAATTCTTATTGAAATCACTAATCTGATAATCAGAATTGGATAGGTCAGGGATCTATGCATTGCCACTAGTATTAAAAGAGTATAAATTTATAATTTTTCTTTTTATAACAGAAATTTAAAAAATGTATTTGAATGGCATATCTAAAAAGATTAGTTTTGTTAATCTACAATTAATGGAGAGAAATATGTACCCAGTAAATTTAAAACGGTAACAAAAGAAAAGATGTTAAAGAAAAAAAAGTTCTTTGAAAAAAAGTTAGTAAAGTGACATTTTAATTTACAATCAAACCAAAACTTTACGCGTCCGAAAACGAAAATAGCTCCCGCTACAGGTTTATGTATGCCTACACATTGTAGCATTTTATGCATTCCATAAGTATTTATGAAATAACAGATTTTAATGTTAAGTCAATGTGTGGTTTTACTGTACAGCCACAAAATACATACTGTACATGTTCGTAAATGCTACATCGAGTACGAGTGACGTATTGCTTGTGAGATTATTTGTTCGAATGAAAACGATACTGACATTAAATTTGCATAATTTACACATGGATTCAGATAGTTTTGGGGAAAAAGATCAGATATAAACGGCGTATATAATTTCACAACGCTTCCTGTCGCTATACAGTATACTCATAAAAGCTCATTTTACGCAACAAACTATTTCATAATACATGTATAAGAATATATCACAAATATTTACATGTAGGTTTAAAGAGCTTGGAATATTCAAAAGCTTTCATCGATACCAAAGTGTGTATAAAATAACGCTTTACTCTTTATCAAATGCACTAATTTAGCCAGATGTTTTAGATTTTGTTAGTCTCAATCAAATTTGAATGTGACATCACCAAAACTTGAAATGTTTGAACGTACACTGTTTTCCTGTCTGCTATTGAATTGGAAACTAACCGCGAAATCTTCAGACGACTTTGAAACCGGAATTTCCGGTTTTGTTTCTAGACATTCGCGTGCAATTTTGTTGAAATCAAACATGTTCACAAGATCTTTGTTATCTTTTGTTTGTGAAAGTTTTGCCGTCTGCTGTTTGAGTTCCACTTCTCTGCTGGTCACCATTTTCATACAGTCACGAAGCATTGTCCGTTTCCTGTCTATTTCACGTTCTGATATTTCAAAAAGCTCTCTTTCCCGCTCGTCAACTGAATCTCGAATGCGGTCAAACGTCTGACGAATCTGAACAGCAAGTTCGCGCTGAATCTGCTCTACGTTATCAAACGCTTTTTCAAGCGCGTGACGCTTATCCTCGAGCGATTTTTTCTCTGCGTCAATTTCACTTATAGTTTTTTCAATTGCTGGAGAGTATTTTTTCATCGCCGCATCAACGCTTATTACAACATGCCCGTTAATTTCTTTATGGTCTATAACCGTGCAATCACAGCATACCGGCTGCATGCATGGTTCGCAGAAAAAATTCAGTGGCTGCATTTGATGTTTTGAACAATACGATACTTTGGCCTTTCCGATGTGCTTTATAAAAGCAACAAGTTCTAGAACAGTGTGGTCGTTTGGCAATTTCTTTATCTCCATTGACGACGCTATTATACTGTCCCTGCAGGTCGGACAGCTGATCTTTACAGCGACTGGCATACTACGGAACGCGGAGGTGAGAGTCTGGCGAAACTCGCCTTCCACACGGAACATCTGTTGTAGACAATCCAGGCAAAATGTATGATGACATGGCAGCATTTTTGGAACCTTCTCGTCGTCGTCGTAATTCTCTCGACAGATCAGACATTTCAGGAACGTGTCTTCAAAACGTTCCTCGTCCAGAACCAGATTGCGTTTTCTTTGTTCTATAGGATCATAGGGAACCAAAGCCCGCATGTTATTACCTGTAAAGTTACAGAAATGAATGCATGAATATTTTATTTACAAACAAACAAAGAGCTGGTTGAATAAATAAACAAACAAGCAGATGTTGACATCGATTAGAATATCCACCATATGTCGGCGCTGATTCACAGTCTGCTGAACAATAGGTGTACAACATCCTGCACGCGGATTTTCCCGTCGTTATATGAAGCTACGGGCAATGAAAGTTACAACAATTAAATGAAAGCGGCAATGTGTGTATAGCTTTATTCTTGTATTTACAAGGATGCAAAAATACACCGCTATACATCATTTAAGGAGCAATGCAGTGTACTACTGAAAATATGACAGCCAGTGACAGCATATCACTGCAGTAACGAAATCATACTCGTAAATGACATAAAGAAAAGTAGGTAATTAATTGAAATAAAAATATCCCGGAAAAAACTGTCGGTCAAAGGGTAAAAAACTTCCTCGGATCAATAGTCTAATGAAATAAAAGTTGGGTTCATAGAACTGCCTTAAAGCTGCTAGACTCTAGATAAGTGAGCAAAGATTCACAAATCAAACTTAAATAAGAACTTAGTTTTAGGATTGAAAACAATCCATATGCTAATGCTTTTTAATGGTAAATGCAATAATGTGGCTGTATTCACTTCTTTAATGACCGTATTTCTAGAGTATTTGTCGTCTGCTTTTTGCGGACTTTAACTATGATTTTAAAGGCCGATAATACAATTGCGGAGACACTTAGACAGAGTTGTCTTTCCCTTTGCGGCCATTGTCACGAGGTCAAGGGGGAACTTTTGCCACAGATATAGTTTTTTTATATAAATAAACTGCTAAAACATGAATGTTAGATAACTATCTAATTAAATATTCTTTTACTTACTTCTACCACTCTCATCTTTTGTCTCAAACTGTTTCAGCTTTTCTTCGAGTCTTTTAGATTCTTCCGCAGACGACATATTGAACTCTTGTGAACTATACACCTTATATTTCAGCCACCTTGCTTTTCTTCTGAAATATAATAATAATAATAATAATAATAATAATAATAATAATAATAATAATAATAATAATAATTATAATAATGATGATGATGATGATGATGATGATGACTATGTTGATGATGATGATGATGATGATTATAAAGCCAAAATAAATCAATTAAAGATATAATTCCAACACATAGGTTTATTCGGAACAGTTGTGTATAAATACATTTCTTAAGATACATGTAATTTAGCTAATTGTCTTTGATTTTTGATATAATTTAAATTTCCATGTAAAATAGTAACAACTAATAAGGCTTTAATACCATTAGAAAATCAGTTAGTTCAGTAACATGTCATTATATACTATTAATAAGCAGTTAGCGCGTTACAATGTTTAATATATATAATCATGGATAAAGTCCAATTTCGAAAATTCCCGGTTAAATGTTTGGTATGAACAGTGTCATGCCCATGGGGCTTTCAATCTGGCACATAATTAACTATCTTTCTCCGTGTCTTTCTCACTGTAACAGTCATACGTGCGTTACTCATCCTTTCTTTCTTCTTTGTATCTATGTCGTCTGCTTATAAATACATCTTCTGCGTTACCACCTTTTCGCGGTTTCTTAGGGCGTTATTGCTCATTTTCAAACGGATTGGCCAATTTCAAAAATGCAAATTTGAGCCTCGTAAATATGAACGGTCTTTATTAAACAAATGATCTTTATTCAAATCGTCTGCTGTTTACTCTACCAAATAATCGTTTCACGTGTATTTAATATCACTGAGTTATTTTTTCCTTATTCATCAAATACAATATTTATTAATCATTCAACATACATATTCAAACGTAAATACCTCGTATAATTCACCCTTCCTTTCTTTCCTTCCTTTTAAATCGAATCAGTATGTCTATTCAAATACAAATATGTTTACTCTATTTAAATGAAAAATAGCTACTTTATTTAAATATTTGTCTGTCTTGTACATCTATGATCACTTTTCCTTTCTTTTATATAGATATAAAAGAGACACTATTTGAACACCTTTAAAAAAGGGAATAGTCTAATTTATTGCAGTGATCATTTAAATACTCAATAAGGCTCCACCCATAAATCAGTTGGATAGTATTCATTCAAAACAAGTTACACTGTAAAACATTAACTACGCGACAGATTGAAAAATGAACGTGAAATCGTAATTTGAATATTGAAGAAAAGCTTATGTGAGGAAAAAGGGAGCAAATTTTATCATTTGTATTATGGGATTTATACAGATAACATATGTTATCAGGTACAGCCAAAACACAGGACTTTTCGTCTGTTTAGTACAGAACTAGCCAATCAAGTTGCCGAAGATAGATACCATTTTCCGGTCTCAATTTATCAAATTTCACAACTTCAAACATTCATGCAATTTTTTCATTTTCTTGTTGAAAAAGGAGGGAGATGTTTGACGTTCTGAGAAAACGTTTGAAATTATAAGGGAGGGGTAAAAAAACAAACAATATAACTTAACGTTATATATGCTAATGCATTTATGTTGTCCTCATAGCTTTTAGTGTAATGAACCTAAATATATTGAAATTCATAGTTGAATAACAGTAAAAGCTTAATTTGTAATAATTTTACGGTAATTACTGCTTAACTGCAGACTCATGTTAAATGATCTCAAGCACGTAAAACTCATGGTTTCCATAGGAACAGGGGCCATTTGAGTCTTCTGTTGGTGTTCTTTGTTTTTGTTTCTTTCCCCCTCAAATTAATAATGATGATATTTGAAGATGGAACCGATCGGCACATGCTTAAAATTTCTTTAAATAGCAAATGAAATACGTTCTTGGGGGAACTTTCTGTTTCTTTTAAAATGCATATTTAAAATATTTAGGATGATGCTCTGGGAAAAAGCGTTCTTTGTTTGTTGTTGTTGTTGTTGTTTGAGAGAGTAAGTTAGACATATTTACGATCTACACATTCTGCCGCAGCATGCATCGTTTTTAATGAATGTAAGTATACGCTAAACAGCCAGGGACTGGGAAAAAACACTTGAACACCCACAATTTAAATCCATTCAAAAATGTCCCATAAAAACAAGTTAAGTAATAATATGTACAATGAGGCAGTTTTCTTTGTCCAGTGACCTGGCAGGAACATAAAAACATTTCTTTCAGATTAAGACGAAGATATGCCGTTTAAGAACGTATTACAGCGTATTAAAAGAGTTATTTTCGCAAGGTTTAATCCCCCGTTATTTGTCATTCTTAATCAATATTACATTTCCACTGGTTGTCTGTGAATGTGAACAAATATGTCTGATTGAAACCATACTTTACAGATTCAATTCAATATGATATTAAATTTTTATAAGAAAATCGTGGCGACATGACCGCGAAGTTCTAAAGACCCGCTTGGGTTTAAACCCCGTCAGGGGCAAAGTTGTGTTTCCTCAAGCAAGAAATTTTACACTGGTTATTCATAACTGGTTGATTCCAGGAACAAAATTCGAGAGTGTGTTTTTATAAGCTTCATACAAAATCGAACTAGAGTAAATGTTGTAGAAACTAATAAAAATGACAAGAGAAAGAAAACGGTTCATTCCCAAAGCACGTGAAACTGTGACTAAGAAGTATAACATTTGCGGACATGTCAAAATTGGCAACATTGCAGACAAAACTGTGTTGAGGTAACTAAAATTATAGACCCTATGAAAATTTAGCATGTACCATGATGATCTATGTAGACAAATATGTCTTTTAATGTACTGTAACTGTTTAGTGACCAAATTTAAATTTACATACATGTACGTAATCATATATGTTTTTATGTCCGATAATTAACTAATTGTTTGCATCTTATATTCACCCCTTAGCGCACTGACGGCAACAGATTCTACTGATGCGACCAGTGCAGACGAAGATCAACCGATACATCCGTGTCATCTGAGCATGGTCTGCACTGCACGCTGTTTCAGTCAGTTGATATTATGAAATAATCCCTTAAAACGGTTAATGAATATGTCCAGAATGGAGATGGAAAAGTCCATTTAAGATATTTTTCCAAAGCGAGGTAGTTTTTCCTCGAACCTAACCATGCAGTACCGGGGTCAAAAGTCATGACCCAAGTCAAGGTCAAATTAACGATCACTGAGTCGAGTTGCAGACTACTTCAACAGGAACACATCGGCGATTATTGCTAGTCCAAGATTTAAGATTTACGGAAATGACCGAAAAGCTGCGATAGAGACACATTAACCACTAGGTCATCGCTCCGATTTAACCAAAAGTGGGCTTATAAGGTACTGTATCAATAATATGGCAATAATATTATATTTTGGCTATGATTGTTGTAATATTTATCGCCCTAATAAATATCTTATTATATAAATGTTGAGAAAAGGATCAACCCCAGAAAAGCACCGCCAATAATTCCAGTCGTCGTCTTAAATAAATGATGGTTTAATTTTTCGTGCAGTTCTTATTAATGTCGCTATACACGATACATGAAAATAGCGAGTTTACTCCTAGAAAAAACCGTTCATTATGTACATCAACATCTTTATTTATGGCACATGTAAATATTTACATACTGTCACAACGTAACGCAAAACAGTGACGTGACGTTAACGTGACGTTTTACAGCCCCTTCAAGACAATGTGACAATAAGTGTCACCTACAAGTTGTAATAAAGTGTTCAATCTGTTCGAAATTTAATTAGCCCAACAGTATTAGTACTTAGGTATAAGTATGTAAAGGACAATAGGGAAAAAAAACCTGCATCCATAAAAATGCAATAACTACATGCAAATACAGTTGAGATGGGAATGTTATCCTTCTTCGGGACATTAAATCGATTTATTCACAATAACATCATTTTGGTGACTGGACTAAATATGACATTTGTTTAACACAGCGTATTTATCGTGTATCAGTGTTTTTGTCGAGATAAGAGAAATTTATATGCCACCCACGAATTGTTTGTGGGTCTAGATTTATTATAACCGTTTGATAAAAATTGATTTTATGCATACCACGCTTTAAGATAATATAGGGTAAAGACCTACAACGACAGGCTTATTACGGAAATCAGCCTTAAGAACGATTACACAAGCCTTTGCAAAACTGCCTGGTACCAAACCAGACGCCGAATTACTAAACGGTTCGGTAAGGACAGTAACCATTTACATATTTTTCAATTTTGAGGAAATTTAGTAAATTCAAAAATTAGCAGACGACATATTAAGCAGACGACACTTTTAGCAGACAGTTTTAGCAGACGACAATTTAACTGACATGAAAGGGTTGAATTTTTTTCTTTAATGTTACAAGCATTTTATTAGATTTTATACTATAACTGTTCATTCGCTAATGGTATATTTTAATAAATTAACTAAGTCTTATAAGAAAGTCGTCTGCTTTCTACCTAAATTTTATCTGCAAAGAATATAATTAATAAGCGCAATAAACAAAAGAATATGAACTACAGATTGATAAATAAGTAATAAGAAATGTAAAAGCGGCCAGACGGTGCATCTTCAAAGCTAATAAAACGCAACAATAAACACTCTTGTTCAATAAGCCGGTGACAAATGTTGCAAATGGACTATTCACTGTCATCACAGACAAATAAATATACTGATTTTATTATGTTGTTATGTTTTCTCTAATTCTAAGCCAAACTAACAGAAATATATAATGTATTTTCAAGAAGATTTGTCTCCTAAAAAAAGTAAACATATACTCTGTTTAGGAGACAAATCTTCTTGAAAATACATTATATAAATGTATATATTTGTTATTATTTTTCGGGAGAATGGCGAGTTATATCTATATAAAGCTGTAAAAATGAGCCGCGTCACGACAAAACCAACATAATGGGTTTGCGACCAGCATGGATCCAGACCAGCCTGCGCATCCGCGCAGTCTGATCAGGATCCATGCTGTTCGCTTACAAACCCTATTACAAGTAGAGAAACTGATAACGAACAGCATGGATCCTGATCAGACTGAAGCGCATGCTGGTCTGGATCCATGTGGTGGCAAACGCATTACGTTGATTTTGTCGTGACGCGGCTCAAATCATTTTTAGAGAAAATTTGTAAAAATCGAAATACGCCCCCCCCCCTCGGTTTGATGCAACCATTTACATAACGGGACTAATGAATGACAATATTCATACATGTAGGAGCTTACTTTATGCTAAATGGAACATGCAGTTTTTTGTTCAATCGAAATATGGTACATTTAAATGTATATTTGCATCAACCAAAATGGACGGAACATACATGAGTAGCTGTATCGATAGAGCTGAGCAAAACATGCATGCTAAAATCTATATACAGAATGGAACACGCATATTTATTCTCATATCTCATATATATGAGCGGATATCTATGATAAGTAAAAGATTTAAGCGTATTTGTATGCTGAATGGAAGAGATAAAGTGTAGCGATAGAAAACCTATGCTGAGTGGAAATGTTAATTATTAAGTGTAGCAATCAAAAATCTATGCTGAATGGAAGAGATTTTATGTGTAGCAATAGAAAAACCTATGCTGAATGTATCATGCATGCGTGTCATGCGTATAAGTTACGACTACATTGATTCAGTATGTCGGTACAATGATTTATTTTACGCATACTGTATAAAGCTTTACTTTACATAAAAATTAAACAACTCTTCTTTTCTTAAATGCACATTGGTCATTTACAATATCCAATTATATAGGCCAATAATGGCATAGTTTGCAGTGCCTGGTTATTTTGTTATAAACACGAAACATTTAAAGTACATGTTTGAATAAATTCATTCAAAACACTGTACAATCTGAAAATAACATGAAAATAGGGTGTCCTAGAGCTCCTTTACCACTATTTAAAGTCTTCTGTGTAAAGATTTGCTGATTTCCGAGCTTCCCTTTCTATTTTGTAGGTTTGAATATATGACGTAATACATGAGATACTAAATGTACTGTGTAACATAAGAAAGAAAATCCCTATCAAGAAATAATTTCTTTATCTGTTTATACGTTTATGAATATATTTTTTTACATTATTATATAAAAAGCATTTCAGAGACTTGCAGAGTTTTGTTTTGGTTCAAAACATAGCTGTCAATCCAGTTTGCAAATATGGCAATAATAAAATACACACTTAAAATCTTGTTTGTTTAAATTACAAATGTACTTTACAATTTATATATAATATACATTTACAATAATGCGATTTGTTATTTGAATGTTTTTCAGCTTGTTAATACGTATATATATTTCAAACAAACAATATTACAACTGCTTTGTGACATAACTTCTGAAGTGGAAATGCATATTGTTCAATGTTGAAAAGATTGTATACATTTCATTTTTGGCTTGACTTTTCGATAAATATTAACTTTGTCTCCCGCAAATGCAAATTACAGGTTCGATAAACTGAAATCTGTTGCTTGCAGAAGAAAAATCAAAGAACATTAGCAAGTGTATATAAATAATTATCTTTATACATGCAAGCGTCTATATGCAAATTATGTATTTAATAAATGCACGGAATGCATGCATCTCACACGAGTGCGTAATCATAATCAGGTAATAAACATTTCTGCAAATATGTCATCCCCTCCATTTTATTGAACAAACATGCAATTCAGCATTATTTTTCCTTCTGATAACTGAACCCATTTAAGACCGGGTATAGTAAAATGAGATATTGAAGTTCCCCAGTTTCGTATACGTGCACTGATCATATATAGAAAATGCATCTGGTCATTATGTGATATTTTATTGGTGATATGTTTAAAAGGTTACTAAGTGCATAAAAAAGCACTGCCGATGCTAAGTTTAAGTGATACTTTAAGTTAATAAAAACTCAGATCACCTTTGGGATATTCGTTTCTTATTTAAATTTAGTACGATTTAAGGCTTTTTTGAAAAGCATTAACATATCGATAGTTAACTTAAACCCCCCAATTTTAGACCCCTACAGAAGCTTTAAAAATAAATCACTTAAACTCACCTTCAAGGGATCGGTTTTATTCAAAATAAGTACTCCTACGAAAGTATGTGAATGCACAGATTAACAACAAGTGTTCAAAAGCTGTTTTTCAACGAAAAAACTGTCAAAATTCACTGATTCAAAACATTAAGCAACATGTACATACACACACCAAAGTCAATTTGTAACGACATTTTTCATTGGCTCGTTGCAAAAGAAATGGCTGCCATAGTTGACTGGCGATTAATAATTTAGCATATACGCGGAGGTTCGACGCGTTAGCGATTTCGTACTGTTGCCTTAAATTGGCTGCAGAAAATAGATCGATTGGTGTATTTTAGGGAAGAAAATACAGAAAACACAAGTCTATTTTTATTTCTAGACTTCCGAGAAAATAAAGAAAAAAATAGTTCAAATTCATTAAGAAAAGTGTGAGAAAAAATATTTCCATCTTAAATATGCAGTAAATGACGCATATCTGCAACAGAGAAGATGAAAGGGGATATGACGTCAGTGAAAAACGTCTTTCATGCTTATTTTTGCTATTTCCGAAGGTTATTCTTACTCAGATGCATGTATATCACAATCCTAAATGGGATAGTTGTTGTTGTTATTTTGTTCTGTAAATTTATTGTTTTATATATATACAGAACAACGATTTAACCTTGGTTGCATTATTTAAACTATTTTTATTTGCAAAAATGTAAGTTAAGCATACTTGTAAACTGATAAGCATACATATAATCTGATTTACATATAAAAAACAACATACGGGTTCAAAGTATCCCAATTTAATTTGTTAGTCGGTCAGTGGTATGCAATTGATTTTGGTAGGGAAAATTAAAGGCAAACTGCATTAAATATTCTTATATAGCATATTAAAAAAAAAATATGTGTTTGCTTAATATAACGCAACAGTCTCAAAAAGTTTAAGTACAGTAAAAACTGTTGGGATTGCGTTTAATTATCATTATTATTATTGTTGTTTTTATCATTATTATTATTATTATTATTATCCTTTCATCATAACGTCAAAAACATATTGCAATAATTTTATTTAGTAAGTCCCTAAAAACTTAAGGGTCGGTGGGGTTAGGCTGGGTAACCAGAAACACAAGAAGTTTTAGGCCTCAGCAATTGTATGTATATAATCTAATCATGGTAGTACAGAATTAGTAAATACCCAAACATACCCATTTGGAGAAAGGATCATAAGGTGAGGGTAAAACTAATAAATAATTATGGTGTTTAGCGTTAACTTTAAATGTAAACATTTTTACTTATTCAAAAGCACCTCGTATGTACCTCGTATTTAACCGCCAAGGTGTGTCAATATTATCAGTGAACCCGAAGGCGTTAACGCTCCACCAAGTAAGTAGGCAGACGACAGTTTGTATTAATTCAAATACGCGCATGCGCAAAATACATTTCCGTCATTAAAGTAACACTTAAAGCTGTTTTTGTTTTGCTTACGGATATTGAGTTAAATCATCACCATTAATTAAAGAAGAAACTTGCCAAACGGTTGTTAAGGAAGGTGATATCACAGGACAAGCGTTGCTAAGGAGAAAGGTAAATGGCTACTTACTTTTATGACAAAAATTAACGCGTGAAAAATGGTAAATGTCATACATGTTGTACATATATAGATCATGTTTAAAGAGTACAGCAGTTGCTTGCATTTAATATAAAATTGCATACAGTATGTGTATTAAAGATTTTTTTATTCTATTCTTTTTCTGATGACATTGTTAAATCATAATAAGAAATCGGAATATTGTAGAAAACACTTTATTTTTACATGTAATTGATCGATAATGCGAGATTGCATGTAGAAATCGATGTCATTAAGAATTAATGTATCTGACAACGATACACGACTGTTTCAATTCATTAATAAATTACACCGCTCCATGAACGCTGTGATAAATCGGTGCCACTGTAATCTTTTACCTATTGTAATATTCATTGTAATTATTTATTATACAGTTATATATATGCAAACATAAAATATGTACTTTTAATTTAATACCTTAAACCTAGGACGTAATAACAAACGTTTTGAATTGAACATGTTAAAATCCATTACATTAATTTATTAAATACTAAATCAATCTTTATCTCGGTAAAATTCTGACTATATTTTTTATCAGCAAGGCATAAATATACTTTAAATCTGTGTTTAGTATTTATCTTCAAGGACTAGCTTTACCCCTAAATCAGTCTGTGTGGGCAAGATTTATGGGGTCAACGGTGATAAAAAAGCATTTAATATGTTTGTAATAAACCTGTATGTAAACAAACATGTTTTATAGCCCTTTGTCTGACCATTATTTGAATTAACGAGGCCAGAACAAAATGACGAGGCCCCTATTTTACAGGTTTCTTTTTCTTAAAAATATAAGATTCACTTATGTACGGTCGACTATTTTAAACAGCGTTAAATTTGTTTACTATTTAAAGGTATTCAACCGTTATGAATATTTTGACATCTACACACGGTTATACAATCTTACTGTGGTACAAATGTATATATATATATATTACATCTGACGCTGAATTTATGTCAAACAAACATAAGAAACAGACATGTGTATGTAGTCCTTTCAGGGACCGTGGGTTCGAACCACGACCGCCCCTCCCGCCACCGAATTAAAATTACTTATAAGTAAGCGGTGAGCTTGTACGTGAGAGGTATGCCTCTAATAAATGTTAGTTTGAACCCTACTATATTGTCACGTAAATGTTTCCTCATGTCCTTTTTGTATGCTCGAAAGAGGTAAAAGGTAGCTACAAACATTGTCTCATGATTAAAGGTACTCCACTGGGTTTTTTTACATGAAGGGACCGAAAATATTTTTTCAAGACTTATATATAACTGTATGTAGGTCTGGATCAATAAGTCGTGTGCAAAATTTCAGATCATTTGCTTACTTTGCTTCCCAGGGATAATCCATTTTGTAACGCACATTGTCCGCTTTTCACTGAAATCGGCCGAAAATAAAAACCTACACAATTAGTATCGGTTAATATTTACATATTATCTGTTGCATACTTTTTTATTTAAAATGCACCAGTTGATTCATGAAAAATTATTTTAAATTTTGTGATTTCAAGCATTTAAACCTCAGTGGAGTTCCTTTAAACTTAAATGATTAACGTTTTAACCTGGGGCGAACATTTACAAAGATGTACATTGTATACATTTTAAATAATATATGTATATGGACACCAACTAATGTAGATTTTAACAAACTCTAGAAATATACATGTAACCTTTTCACGAACTTACGATATACACACATGTATATTGTTAGTTTTTCTTAATCTTGACAAAATCTGTCTTAAAGGAGACACTATAGATCAGTATCATTTAAAAGTGCTAGAGGTAGGTATTTTGTGGTGTATACAATGAAACTTATCAATAAATCAAATCATGCTACCGTAAATGAAATAAATCCAGCTCGACAGGGTATCGTTCCAATAAAGTTAACCTTATACCTTACATAGTGTTATTGGCCATATTTAGTGGCTTAACCTCTTTCCCTACTCCAAAATTAAAGAGTATGTTTTCCAAACCTTTTGACAAATTATTCGCTTCATGGAAGTCAGAAAGTGTGGAAATGTAAAAACGAATCAAAATTTATGTTCGTTTACTAGTTTTTATCTGAAGTGAAGATATATAAATAATGTTAATGCCTTTATTTGTTCCCCTATGATCGAAGCTGAGACGCAATTCCCCCACCCCACCCACCACCCCGAAAGAATGACAGACATGTCATCTGCCGACCTAATTAAGAAGTCATTTCCGCAAACAGTTATATCACAGTTTGTTTTTTAAATGTATTTCAGCATACATGTATATAAGTAAAATTTTATGCTTTTTAGCGAGCAGGTACACTTGGACTTGTGCGGAAATTCTAAATATTTCATGGTCATGACTAGTTTAAAAACAACTAGTGAAATCGTTATGGGACATTTTGTACTGTTACTTTTTTATCACGCGGAATAATTTTGCATACTAATAAGTTTATGTAACAAATTTTAAAGCGTTTGTACTTCATAGGCCATAATCAATCTTACTTATTTTCAAAGTTTAACTCGACACTATAATTACGCCGTATACTTTCTTTAAATGCCCGCTTAAGCCGCCTTAAAATTTGCTGACCTAGCGATTTTTAAATACAATATATGCTTTGTACTTTAGTTATAAGTAAATGCAAAAAGGTGGCGAAGATCGCTAGTTTCGTTGAAGTTGAACAGCATTGAATTATAAAACATGATGTAAGTATGCGTAACCGATCTTGCCTGATATATACATAAAAATAACACTTAACTATTTGCTAGGTTTCAAAAGAAAGATTTTGGAGTAAAGTTAATGGTGTGATCACATACCGATCCCATATTACACACTAAAAAATTGATGATATATGGCCCATTTCTCCGGGACATTTATTAACAAACATTTTTGGTGAAAATACATTTATTGTATATTTACAACAGAACAAGTACAGTCGAACCTCATTTTAAAAGAGAGTCACATGCAACGAATAAGATTCAGAAAGAGTTAAGATTAGTGTTCTTTTCCCCCTTTTAAACGATCACCTGTTAATAAAAAGACCACCCACATTGTTAACTTACAACGGATGGTCGTTTCAGGCAAGTGTTGGTGTAAAAATGACTTATATGTGTACTTTTTATGCTTGGTTAGATTTTGTTTTCCGTCACTTATATACTTTGTTGACAGAATTGAAACATATTTGATTGTATCAACAGAAATAATGATACATTGTACTTATAAAGTTCAATTATGGTTCACTGAATAAAATATACATACAAACTTTTTAAAGTTGATACCGATTATTGGTCATTCAAATTCACCATAAGATCACGAGATAAACAAAGTCATCTTAAAAGATACCATGATAACCATGAAAACAATTGAAGAAAAAACACAAGATATTTACAGTTACAGGAAGTACTTTCATTATATTATTATGATACCAGTAATTCAGAACCTAATGAAATAACTAATAGTTGTTCTGGATTGATTTACATTTTGAATGCGTTATCAAAGGTAGTGTTAATTTCGTAACGTAGAGATAGGAGAATTAGTAAAGTTTGTCACAGTTTACATATGTTACTAAAGATAAATTCGCAATGAAATTTGAAAGTGCGTGGCGTCGGTTACAGGAATGCTAAACATGATATAGACGTTTCCAAAGATAGTATTAATTTCGTAATGTAAAACTGGGAAATGAGTAACGTTGTTACAGGAATTCTACACACATCATTTTACATACGTTACCAAAAATAAATTTGTAACGAAATTTGGAAGTGTGTGGCACAAGTTACAGGAATGCTACACATGAAAAAGACGTTTCCAAAGATAGTATTAATTTCGTAACGTAGAAATTGGAAAATGAGTAACTTGTTATGAATTGTACATGAATTCTGCACACATCATTTTAACATACGTTCCCCCAAAATAAATATGTAACGAATTTCGGAAGTGAGAGACATTTGTTACAGGAATGCTACAATGATATATAGTTTTCAAATACAGTATTTATATCGTAACGTAGAGATAAGGATATCAGTAACGTTGTTACAGGAATTCTATACAGTTGGCATACGTTACTAAAGATATAACTAAATCTGTAATATAGATTTCAGGAGTGTCATTGGTTAACATACATCAATGCTTTACGTTTAACACGATAGTGACTTATCAATTATCAATAGTATCTTTTTAAATTGCAGATTTTATACTATCACGTATGTTACAATAATGGCAGAAACTACTAAATCAACAGAAGATCCTAATTTTAAGGGAGGAGTCATGAGCCCGAATTCCCAACAGTCATTTGCAGGCAAGTGAAGTGTTCATTTCCTTCATATATAGTATATTGTTTTTAATTCTAGATGTAATAAATCTCTAATTTTAATTCTAGATGCAATGTACATTTCTTTCTTTAAACTTTTAGCATAATAGACTTCTTCTGTCAAGTCTAAATGATTGTATTGTATATATATTTTACAATTCAAGTTTTAAACATGATTTTCCAACCAATTCTTAATGTAATGTACACACCCTTCCAATAATTTACCTTATAATTTTAGATGAAATGTCCTTTTCCTTTTAAGTTTAGACATAATGTACATTTTCTCCAAACTTTTGAAAAATCGTAGTACATGCATTTTGATTTCTTTTCTTTTGATTACATCATTATGTTACATACATTACATTACGTTACAAACTTAGATAAAGCATTGACTGGTATGTGCTTAGAATCTTTGACAAGCTATTTATATATATCCCACAGCAAAACCTCTCTATAAAAGAAGCGTATTTCATACAATTTATATATCCATTAATCAGAGCAATCATTAGATTGGCTGATAAACCTTTGTGTCCACAAACGATTATATTTACACATACAGCCAACCATGTTCTATTTTATCAATGAAAGGTTGTCAAAGAGTGGCCTTCATTTACAGGGCGATCTTTAATTATGAGATGGTCTTTACCACGTGTTTGACTGTATAAATATGCAATAAATATTAGGTCTTAGACGTTCCAGTCAGACATATATCACTGTACTGTAGAATTTTCAAATTCGAGTTTTACTTACCATGAATAATTTTGTTGTACGATTGTATCGTGTTTATCTATTCATTTATTTTATTTATTTATGTATTTATTTTAATTATTATTTTTTCTTTGTAAATGCGTCAAATTGCGCCAAAATATTGGTTGATCTTCTGTCCCAGGTTGATGGTTTACACAAGAGAAGACCGATTTCTATGAACTGATTTCAATGTGATTCTATATTTGAATTTTAAAGTTATTTTGTTCATCTTATTTCAGCGCTCCGCTACGCCCCTCCACCTACCCCTCCCAAACAAAAGATAATTTTGGACGAGGAAAAGTTTGAGTACTCGTTTTTAAGATGTATGGTGTGCAAGGAAAAATATGATATGATGGAAAGGTAATATGATAGAAAAAACTTTGTAATTTGTAAGGAACTATGTCAGACGTGCATTACATGTAAAAAATGTTAAACCTCAGTCTTTTGATAGTTTGCATTCTTATGACACTAACAATCATTGCTTGCTCAGTCAATCAAAAATCGTATCTTAATATAAAAAAATAAAAGTTTAAAATCTAAAGAAAGATAAAAACCTTAATCAAAGTCTGAGACATGAGTACATTAACATTTAGTTTAGTTGGACTGCATATTTAAAGTTCTAAAAGTGGCTTATTCACTATTAAGACCAGTTCACTTTTAAGACCACTTTGAGTCCGTCTCGTTAGTGGTCTTAAGAGCTGTAGAGGATACACTGAGAATTTGTACTGTACTTATGCACTTGTTTATTGTAACCACGACCGTCATCCACTGGGAATCAGATGGAATTTTTGGACTTTCGCACTTTTGGTAAAGGCCCCTCCATGTGGTGACAACTAGATGGTAAAACCCCCCTTTAAAAATACCAGCATGGAAATTTGAACAAAACCTAGCCCATTTTTTTTGCTAATACAAAATCCGGCATTAACCCGGCATTACTGGATGCATTACCTTGCGTAGATGTTACATGTACTTAATTAACTTAACTCTGCACGGCTCCACGTGCATGTAAAAAGTTTAAATGTTAATGAAACTGTATTAAAAGTTAAAGAAATGCATAAATAATTATAATAAAAGTGACACTTTAGCACCTTTTATGCAAAATATGACACAATTTATTACTTTTATTATCACTTTTTTTTTGTAAAAAATAACAAACTAGGTAAACATGGTTCTAGAGCTTGTTACAGTACGACCTCTGCAGGGCATGCGCAACAATGTTTGGGAAACAAATATTTAGGTTGTTACTTTGAGGTGTTCCCTCGGGGAGATTAAATCTATTTATGAAGTAATACTTAGGGAAGACATATTACAGATATTGTATATAGGTTACTGGTCTACATAAGGTTGCTCTGTAGAGGTTACACTGTATTTTCAACGCCAAATTCCGACAATCTTACCATATATCATTGATATTTATTACATATTTTATGATCGTACTAGGTTTCTCTACTTGTTATAGGGTTTGTAAGCGAACAGCATGTATCCTGATCAAACTGCGCGGATGCGCAGGCTGGTCTGGATCCATGCTGGTCGCAAACCCACTATGTTGGTTTTGTCGTGACACGGCTCATATATGTGTCATGTTAACAGACATCATCATTCTGAATACCATACTTTCTCATGAATACTGTTCAAACAGTCAATTTCACATACGATATGTATATAAATATATTTGTAAATACACCAATATCTAAAGATGTTTGTGTCTAAAAGGAGGCTGTTACATGTATATAACGTCATTTATGCTATAGCTAGACACCTATGTCGACATTTTCGGAATGTTTCATTTTTTATATGTATGTTTAATTTTGATTCTAGGACTCCCCGACTACTACCCTGTCACCATGCCTTCTGTATGTCTTGTCTTTTGGCCTTGTACCAGCGTGAAGAAGATTACCGCCAGAGCCTGTCTCCATTGTCCACCTCGTCTTCATCAAACTTTGCTTTTGCTATTCCTGTCGGATGTCCAAATTGTGGTTCTAATTTCATAACAACATTGGATGGTTTGAAACAATTAATGACCGACCACAGAATTGTCCAGCTCATGGATTTCGTTGGTCACACCGACAAACAGACTGTTTCGTTCTGTCCTAACCACGATTTACAGCCGATTAATTTCTTTTGTGAGAAATGTGTTCATCCAATATGCAGAGATTGTACCGTGCTAGATCATAAAGAGTGTTCAGAGGAACAGTTAGTCATAGATCTTGCAAACGCTAAAGATAAATACTTGCCTGTCTTAGATGAAGGTATAAAGAGTATGGACGAAGAAGCAAAGGCGTTGTTTGAAAAGAAAGAAGACTGTCAGAAAGCTTTAGAAAAATGTCAGAAAGGAGATGACAGTTTAACTAAATCTATAAAGGAGGCTTTTGAGAAAATCAGGAAAGCGGTTAATGATCGAGAACAAGAAATCCTACAGATGGCAAACGGTAATGGTGGAAACAGTAAAGAATCGGTAGAGGAAAAGTTAAAGAAACTGTCTGAAAAGGAACATGAAGTTGAAGAAATATTAGAAGCAATAAATAAAGCAAAAAACTCTGAAGTTGTTCAAGAAATGTTCCTTGTTTACAAAAAGGTTAAAGAGTACACAACAGAGCAAGGACTAGAGAAAGAAGATCTTCAGAAAAGTGATCAGCCTCCGGCAACATTTGCCACAAGGGACGAAAGCACTCTGCTGGCGAGAATAGCTAAATATGGTGAAGTTCAAAGCGCGCAGACACAATCAAACGGATATGGATCTTCAAGTCATGGGTATTCCGGAGGCAGTTCTTATCTAGGCAGTTCAAGATTCACGAGTTATACTCCAGCATATACATCACGGTATACACCAAGGACGTACAAATACTAACCCATCTTGCTCATCATTGAAATAAGTTTAAACCACGTATAACAAAATTAAGTGGAAAAAAGTGTGATTATAGCAATTAATTCACCAAGTACCTTCTGTTCATATTTTATTGTTAAAGATCATGTGCTCAACTTTTTCATTGAATGCAATACTTCTTTAAAATTCACAAAACCCTTTGAAGAACAAGGGAGAAGAGCGAAGCTGTTCATATTTTTTGAAGCTCCACGCAGTGGTCTCCTCTTCATTTTCCGGCGCATTTATGTACTATTAAGGGAGGTAACCGCTACGAGGAGTTTGTACTTTTTATGTCAAACCTTATTCGAGTGATCTCGCTTTATATGTTCATAATATACTAGCTATGCATAATTCTTTGTAATACAATGTACTTCGTCCTTGATATCTCTCAAATATATTTTCAAACTGTGCAGCATTTATAAAACGCTCATTATATACTATATATGCATACCAGATGTAAATGCATTTTATGATTAAAATGTTGTATTGAGCTACAGTTTTATTTGTTTTGGTATACTGCACTCACTAATTAAGAAAGCTCTATGCGGTGTACAGTAAAAGCGTCACATAACACCCAGCACGGTACATGATTGTGTAACATTTTTACACTTCCATATAGATTATTGTTGTATATAATTTAGCTAATACAGATATGCTGCCAACCGTCAGAAATTCTGATAACCTTTGCAATGCAATTTTGAAAGTTTTAAAGATGTCCCGCACAGGTCCATTGATGTTGTCCGCGTATCCTTAAGATGCCCCTTTTTGCTGCATAACGATTCGTCGAAAAACACTTGGTAGAACGAAAACTACGTCGACACAATCTTCGTTGAGTGTATCAATTTGCCGAATACGTCATTTTGTCTGAATATCAATTAAGAATTATTGTCTGAAAAGAATACAAGTATTTTTAAAAGCGACAATCCGTCGAAAAATTATTAGTCCCTGAGTATTTATAACAGTACACTGTGATAACATATACTCATGCGTATTGAAACTGGTTGTGTTTGAGTAATCATTCTCATATCAGTAGTTTTATTATGGATAGCAATAAAAAGGTCTTTCGCAGTTACATTGACGCTTTCCTTAAACGTTTAGTGAATTTACATAATGATTTAAACTAACGTTTAAGAAGTAAACAAACGGCAAGTTTAGAATGTTCTTGGCAGTAATGCTGTATACGAACATTTGCTGTTTTAAACTGTTGCCGCTCTTGGTTATACTGTATAAGGTCTGTTGAAGTTAATCCTTATATCTATATCTATGTGTGTGTGTTTCTTTTAATGAACGTATGGGCGAATGACCAATAATTTTTCTTACACGTTTGAGTCCGTGCAAATCACTTCCTTGAAATTTCTTGCCGGACAATACTATGTATATGAGTTTCTTCTAATGTGAGGCTGATTTGGAACTTTTTTTTTGCGTCGTGTTTGCGCTAGCGACAGCAAGACAAACCGCGCCTTGTCGAACTTTCTTCTTGTCGTCCTGTCGCTAACGATGCATGTCAAACTGCACGTTGTCGTGCGGCGTGTTTCGCTAGCGACAAGACAAAACGAAAGGCGATTGTGATATAGGTTGTGTTTTCGCTATCGACAAGGCAACGCGCAAAGTGTACTATATCAGCCACCATATGAAATAGCATATATCGATGCTCATTGTAACCTCCCTATACAGTACACTCTTTGCAAAGTAACAACTTTTGTAGTTCTTGGTAGTTCTTGGTTACTTCGACGTTTTCTAGTGTGTTGAAAAAAATGTTATTAATATAAATGGCGATAACTTATATATTTATTCCCGTTTGCTTATTCCTATGTCAAATAAGCCCGCAGTCATTCTTCACAAAACGTCGGCATCAAAATGTGCAAACCTTGACCATTTGACAATTTTTTTTTGTCTTTAATATCATCTCAACAAATCACTCAAAGATAGCAAACATTATGAATTTAGAAATAAACAAATTATAAACGAAGAGTAGATCTAATTGTTTATTATTTACATTCACACATCAAATATATTTCTTTAGTAGTATTTACAGAAATATTACACATTTCTTTCATTTATCATAAAACATATAAATTGTATAAATAATTATTCATAAAATAAATATTCTGAACAAAAGACAATGATACTTACGAACTAAAACTAATTTTTACATGCTAATTCCCTGTAGTGAACACCAAAATTTTCTTTGTCTATTTTTAGCATTTAGTCGAGAATCATAAGTGCAAAGAATGTCAGAAAGGAAAAAAATGTTATGTTAAACAATATTCATTTAAATGTTTCTATATGTCTCAAAGCTAATCTTATAATAATGAAAAACAAATAAGCAAACAAATATTGTTAACAAGAAGACCCGGCCTACACCATGAATGTATAAGAAAACAGTCATTTCCACTTCAATTAATAACATTGCGCTATTAAATTATCAACACGCTGTATTTGTATATTTAAGCTACATAGTATTTTGAATATTTACAAGTCTACAAATAATATTTATAAAGGTCATTCAGATACTGAAATTTGAATAAAGAAATGATCTTTAGCATACTCATTTTAATTACATGTACATGTAATACGTATTTGTATACTTTACTTGTATACTTTCTCCGCTAATATTCATACTCTTGATAAAAGACTTCATCATAGCTGCCATCTTTGAATAACTTCCTTTCCCAATCCTTTCCTTCGCTTTCAACTCTCGTTGGAGCTCCGCTCCTCAAATTATTTACTGGATTGTCTACTGGCCAAGATCTGCCATCTTCCTGATCATTTCCCGGTCTCTCAAGTGCTATTGATGTTCCCATTTCCAAATTATCAGTTGAACTTTCAAATACCCATGCGTTTTTCCAATCTCGATTCGTTCCTGGACTTTCTAAAGTCAATGCACTTTTCCATTCGCGATTCTTTGCGGCACGCTCCAATTCATATGAAGTTCCCACTTCCAAATTATTTGCTGGATTCTGCAATGACCATGCACTTTGCCATGCCCGGTTATGCCCTCTACTACTAAATTCTTCTGCACGTCTGGATCGAGGAAATTGTCGAGAGCTGGGTTGTTGTTCTTGTCTGTTGTTAAGTAAACAAAGTTGTGACAAAGACATCAACATCTTGAGATGAGAGTATGAATCCTGGGATTTTCTTCTGGCATTACAAGGCGCCATTGAAGGTTGGCAATTCCTCACGTCACTTCTTGAACAACGTTTTATTCTGAACTTGCATTTAGGAGTAAGGGTTCGATTGAGAACTGACTTCATTCCCTCATCAGTTGCCGTACCATTATCGTCACCTATTACTGCGTCCGAAGTTTGAAATATATTCGAATCTACGACAGGCGTCTCTTCGTGTATTTTAACATCTTCCTGTTCTTCTTCATCGAGACTGATAGCAGAAAGTGTTGACGATATTCGGGAAACTTTTGTCGTAAATTCTGCAGTCTGACTGTCATATTCCTCATAATGCGCCAATTTATTCTGCATGCTGCTGAAATCTTTTTTGTAGCGCTCTTCAGTATTTTCAGATTTTAAAATATTTATTTTCATATAAAGTAGTAGTGAAAGAATGATGATTCCTTTCCTGCGTTCCGTAGAGGTTATGAAATAATCATCCGAATGCTGACCATTTATTTCCAATGCCTACGTCCATTCACGAATGGATGCTAATACATGTTAACACATGGGTACGGTGCTTATTAATATGATTGACGCGTTTAATACGAACCTATAAATGTTGACGTCCTTCACAATTCCGAGAAATGTCTTTATTAATAATCTTTATAAAATGAATCCAGAAGCAAAAACATTTGTTTATTTCAGATGTTCTTTGACGTGCATAAGAAACTAATTGAAACCAATCACGTCATTTTTCGTTATTGTGATCCTGAAAAGCCGAATGATTAACTATTAAAACTAACCCTTGTCTTTTATATAATGTAAAATATTACGTCTTGTATTACATTTGTATCGTATCAAACAAAACCGGTTTGATAGACCAACCGACAAGATATTTAAGAAAAAACATTGCAGTTGCCAATACGAAAACCAGTATTGCTGCAAATGGCGCACCTACTAGCAATTCCGATACATGTAAAAAGGATGAAACTTCGATATTTTGACTTGGAAGTTAGTTATACACCATCCCTTAAGCTCCTAACATTTAGTCTTTTTGTACGTGTTTGTGTCCATCCTTATTTACGTAAATTGTACACGTATTAATCAATAGGTCAAAGACCCGATAACTGTGACCTTTTTCATAATAATATCATTAATTAGAGGAAATATTAAGAATTAATTGTAATTCATTTGTTTATATAGAAGTTATTTGTTCCTCGAAATACATTTTCCGAGTAAGCACTGTTACACCTTATAGGGATTCCTTCAAATAGATCACCAAGAGGTACATGTACACTGATACTGTTCGTACTTTTTGTCATAATTTCACCGAAAGTATTCGGAGTATCTGTTCCTTTTTTCGCAAATGTATCGTTCAATATATGTCACAAGGTCAGGTTATGTTACAAAGTATAAAGTACCGTTGTCAGATTTTCTGTTCGTCCGTTTATCGTCAGTCCTTGCTCTATCTGCCCCCCCCCCCAGTATTAATCAGATTGTCGAGTTTTATTTATGTTCTTTCTCTTTTGTAAAAAAAAGACAAAAATTAAAACAAGATCCCTGTCGCTGTCTCAATATGAAACCCCAGACTAATGGACCAGTGTAAGAGCACCTAAATATGATTTTTGTATTTTCTGATCGAAGATCAGTAAAAACAAAGCGGACATTCAATCTCTGACACAGAATTTCACGACAGACCCAACAACAAGCAGTTCTCAAAACAGCTTAAAACTAGCGATTTTAAAGAAAGGAATATTTCAATTTTGTTACAAGTATCCACCAAATTACAAGGCATTCAAAGTTTAAAAGTAGAGTTGGCTTATAGAATTGTCAATAAATACACAATCACAAATTACGCGGATGTATATGATTTAAATCAATGAAAATGCTATTTTTAGCGATGTCGATTACCGAATACTTCAAAAATAAATCTGACTGCCGAGTAGAGGAATATATAGATTCTACATGTCGGACTGTTTGGGCGAGAAGATTTTCGCTAAAATATTTACTTCAATTTTAAACAACAGCTTTATCCTGAACAAAATACCTCGAAATTTATAAGGATTACAAACCGAAATGCAATGCAAGTTCAAAATTTAGAATGACTTGATTTTATTCAGGCTTTATTTGTATTCTTTCTGCAGGGGTAATGCGCTCGTTTTGTGTGTGAGAGGTCTGAAGTTCAAAACCCAATCTAGGCATATCTTTTTTAAGTGTCTTTGTTACAGAAGTAGCCATGGTATGCAAGGATAAAGTGTGGTTGTCATAAAAAATGAACATAAATGATATTTTGATGCAATTGTTCTAATCTAAGGTATGAAATTATAATCTTCGTAAAGTTTCATGCGCGATTGGTGCGCGATTGGTTGAACTTGCTAAATAAA